AACAATGTGTTTGAGAATTTTTCAGAGATTTCTTTCAGAATGTCTCTGAATAAATCTTTGTGTAACAATTATCAATCACAGAAAACCATGACAACAACTTACTTCAACATTTATTAATTGATTAAATTGGCCACTTGTCTTGCAATCCATTGTTAAAATAAAAATGATGATTACTGCAGCTTTAATATGTGCAATAACCAAAAATATTAATCGTTTTTGATATACATAAAAATATAATTTGCATTGTAAAATGACGATAAAAGGATTTGAGTGGAAATAGACCATGTTTGATTTCATTCTTCCAGTGTGCAGGCTTTTTGAAGCTGGGCAACCAGTGTGAAAAGGGATTATAACAGACTATTGCTTGACTACTGTGTTCTACCAGCACTGATATCTTTGTATAATTCTCAACTGCCACTCTGTTAAATATTTTAATCATAAATACAGTGTCCCCATTAATGCTGCTCCATTTCATTACCATTTTCCCTATATCTAGGACACGCATAATCTTGGTTTTCTTTCAACCGTCCAATTTTTAGTGCAAGTACCTCACGGCTGCAAAATGAAAACACATTGAGAGCGTACACATCAACAAGACTGGAGCTAAGGGAGAGCAAGAGAGAGAGAGAAACCAAGACGTAATGAGACGGTGAAGGGGAAAAGGTAGAGTGAAAAGAGGAGAAAGCTAGAGCCATGGCAACCGTAATAAAAGACAAAAGCATATCAGAGCATATTAGCGCCTTCATTTGATGATGAGGTGTTCTATTTGCATGCAAAGTATCCAAACCCCTGCAGCAGAGGGTCACTATCTCTGCATAACCGCTATCCCGTTCCACATTGCAGGCATTCCTCACATCTCTTCTCTCACCCTCTCCTCTTCTCGTTTAAAGCCTCTGTTCTTTAGTCTGACTTGACTCTGTTTCAGAACAGTATCAGTCTTTATTAGGGCTTTACTAACACTAAGACAATAGGCACCATTGATTGGCTGGTGATTTGTTATCTAAGTTATCTGAGTTGGCCACAGTGGAAATCATTCTGAGGTGGCGTTGATGGGGTCCAAGGAGACATAGCACCCTCCATACCCAACTCCCCCTGCCTTTTCAGCAGCTAAATGATCTCTTAATTACTTTGTTTAGGAAATTACCTGCCTAAACACCCATAATCAAATTGATCTGGGGCTGTGGAAACTGACAAATTAACAAGTCTGTTTAAATCCCGTTGAAGCGAGCATGGTGTTGTGTTCAAGAGTCCTGTTTCATTTATACTAAACAAAAGCTAGTTGGAGTGGATGAGGTATTAGAGCTCAGATAAGAGTTTAACTTGACCTTGTATTGTTTACATTTTTCCTCCACTGTTGTCACTTGCCATCTGTATTAATTTGGCACCCAAATAAGACTGTTGTGGGTGGAGCCTGAAATCAAGCTTAATCCCTGAATATGTTTGTGACAACACTGGAAACAATAGTCCCCACGGTGAAAGAATTGACACAATACACAATACAAATACTGACAGTGTAGTTTTTAATGTTTCTCAAATCCATGGAGCCCACACATGTGCCACCTTCAATATAACATCAGTGACATCTGCTGCCATTTCAATTTTGAACACAGAGTGCTTCAGCGCCCTGGGGTTGAATATTTTGGATTAGTGTCTCTCCTCCAAATGGCAAAATGTATATGTGTCTAGCAGCATGCCTCGTTCGATGATAATGGCATACTACTGTACAGCTTGTGCCACGCAGCGAGGCTTCTGAATGGACTCGGCTGCAGCCATTTGTCATAATTACAGAGATGCTTTGGCTCTGAACCATTTGCGCACACACAACACACACACTTGCTTTTATACTCGTGTATCTACTTATTCTGCTGTCCCATGAAATTGTATAGCCAAGGGTGTCTAATTATACTAATCGAATACGTACCGCCTGACATTTATTCATACATTATTAATAGCAGAAACAATAGAATCTCTGATTGGATGTACTGACTTCCTGACTTCTCATATTCTCTCTCTCTCTCTTTATTGCTTAATGTTTCTCACTTATCTCTCACTCCATCGCTCTCTCTACCCCATGACCTCCTTTCTTCTCTTGGTGACTCTTTGCCATTCACCTCCTGTAATTTTGCTTGTGGGTGTTGAGTAATTAGCATGCCTCCCACTTTTATTCTGATGTCAGAGCAGGGAATTTGAGAAATGCCCAATAAAGATTATGTGTCCTGATAAGGTTATGTCTGGGACTCCATTAAAGAGATGGGCTGCACAATGGCTGTTTGTGTCCTTCGAGCGAGAGAGTGAGTGAATGAGTAGGAGAGAGAGAGAGAGAGAGACACAGAGAGAGAGAGAGAGAGAGAGCGAGACACAGAGAGAGAGAGAGAGAGAGAGAGAGAAAGTGTAAATGCCTGAAAGAGGGAAACTGTTTTCATATTACTACACAGAGCACAGTATGCCAGCATTCTCTATTGCTGCATATCATTCTTTTCTTGTTAATTTTAAATGTTATAATAATTATCATAAACCTATTCATTATTTAACTTAATTACCACATTTTACTGTGTTACTTGTGAATTTACACTATGTGGCCAGAGGTATGTTGAATCCCCTTTAAACATATTTTTGGTTATTCTTTTTGGTCTCGAGCTGTTTGCCAAGGCTCTTATGTCCAGTTCCAAGGGAAATCTTAAAGTGAGACAATATAACACATTTTATTCTAATGAAATGAACTCACCCTTGCACAATTCAGTACACTTCAGACTTTTGACTTAACAGCCTTGCTTGGTCATTTATGACAGAGACATTTTATAGAGGAGACAAGCCACTTAATCACATCCTCAATATAACTCTATGGGGCAAGCCCTTAACGGCAAAGATGGCGGTTATCCCGCCCCTACCGCTAGAAAGCCAATCATCTGCTTTTAACAGCCAAAGCGGGAATCATATTTCAGCCAATCGTATGGTTCCACTGACGTAAGGGTCTGTTTTACTGCGGCAATGCATGCGTGGTAGTAGTGATACATGCGTAGTTTTTCAGCAATTTTTATTAGATTTTAGTGCTGATGTCCCGGTGACCAGTAAAAGTGCAGTTCTGGCTCTCTCCCCATTCATTCAGATGCTTGTGTCCAAGGTGGCAGGACTTGCCTATAAGGACTTTGTTTATGATCAGTAGCTTATGGTGGCTTAGCAAACTTTAGGTAGATATTTGTGTTTAACTAGCATTACAGTCAATTCCCGGACTTAATGACTTCACGTGTGCTACTTTTATACTAGCCTATGTTTAACATTCATAATTCTCCTGGCTGCCGTGGCTGCTTTTCTGCCAAAGTTACATAATTTTGGTATAGCATTCACCAATATTTTACACAGCAGTGTGCATCCAACTTTGGGGCTGTGCACAAAGCAAGGCCAATAAAGAAATGGCATACTGAGTCTGTCATTGGAGAACTTTACTGGCCTGCACAGAGCCCAGACCTCAACCTCCTCAAACACCTTTGGTATGAACTGCAGCACCTAGTGCCCAAAACTCAATTGTGCTCTTGTGGCTGAAACAAAGAACCAGTTTCCAAAATCTTGTGGAAAGCCTCCTCAGAAAAGTGGAGGCTGTTACAGCAGCATACTAATGTCCGCTTGTTATTGCAGTCATTTTTGTTTATTACAAATGCTTTTGATTTCATTGTAATTCATGTTTTACACTTACAAAATGCAACAAAATGTCATCTTTGCCTGTAGAGCTCTCAAACCCTTAATGCAGCTCAGCTGACTTGAACTGAACTGAAGAAGTCATGATGAGAGACAAAGACTAACACAGAAAGGAGGGGTGCATAGTGGATACCGTACGTGCAAGGTTTTGCATTGTTTTACACATTGTGCATCTGTAACCACAGTAAAATGCTAAGGACTTTTGCATAAAGAAATCCAACCATGACTATTCAAATTTGAGATGTTGCAATTGTGCATGAAATGTTTTGTGTTTGCGGCAGTGGTGATGGAAGACCTCTCCATTCGATTTTCAAAACAATTTACTTTATGTGACATTCAGCATTAAGGTGACAACAACATGAAAGCTGAGCCATAGTAAATTACAGTTTGTTTGGAAAGTCTTTTGGAAAACACAATTCCATGCCATGCCAAAATTGATAGATGATTACAGATGAGTCAGAGCTCAAGATAATAGCAACTTGAACAAAAGCGCCTGTTGAATTCCACCACACACATGCTGCAGGAGCCAAATTGCAGGAACAGCACACAGAGGTAGGGGCCAGCAAGACATGCCATCCGAGGTTTGTGGCTAAAGTCAATAGCATTTCTGAGAGCTTTTCTCCTGCTTGATGCATTTTATAGATGGATTGCATTCTGTAACTAAATTTGGGTATCATTTGTATTTCCACATGAATCACATCCGAGACCTGCATGTGCCTCTTTACCGCTCGATGAAAAATACAGACAGTATAACTTTGCCACCAGAGAGATGATTTGCGTCGCTGGCAAGCATTTAATTTAACTAAACCACCACTTCTCTCCCTCTCTCAGTCTCTTTAATATCCTGGATAATGCTTGATGTCTGGAGCGTTATTGAGCCTTTCATTGACTCTGCTTATACAGATTTTCCATTCATCTATAGGCCATATATTGCCCACTGTCTTGCCCAGTATTTTGTCCCTTCTCATCTTTCTGTGTCTTAGGCGGTGTGGTGTTTGGTGTGGTCATGTTGTACCACAGTGATTTGGCTGCATTCAGAGGTGACTGGACACTTCTACCTCAGTGGATGACTTAATCCTTCACTCTGGGAAGCTATTTATCTCCACTCACATCAGGGCAAAGAGATAAGGATGCTGTGGGAATACAAAGATAGAGCTCCAGTCAAAGAAACCATCCAGACAGTTTGTTAGTTAGTTAGTCAGTGATTGAGTGAGTGAATGTTTCTCTGTCCGTGTAGGTTTATGCGTGTCTCAATCCTCTACTCACTCCCTTTTCTCCTTTTTCGTCTTTTTTTATTTATTTCACAGACTCCGCCGTTGTGTTACTATGGCGACAGTGGCCCCTCCCTCCTTCTTCCTGCTGTGTTGGCTGCTCCGAACGGCCAGCTCGGCGTTCCCAGAGGAACCGGGGCCCCTCAACTTCATCCCCACTGAAGGTATTGACCTCCTGACTTTCTCGCCCTCTAACCACCTACTACCCTACGTGCCTCTCTCCCAGGTCGTGATGTGTGAGGTGTGGTGTCACGCCCTAACAGGCAGTGTGTTGAATTAACAGGGAGGGCATGGAGGAGGCTTGGTGTGGGTGGTCGCGGTCAGAAATGCTCTCACACGAAGGGTGTTGATTGGTGTCCAGGTCAGGAGGTGTGGGGTCGCACTCAGGAATGAGACCAGAGTGAAGGACAGAGCTCTTGCATTCATGACTTTCACACACACACACACACACACACACAGGCACGCAGACCCTCAAGAGCTCCTTACTCACTCAGACTTTGAGTCTCCACATCAGCTTGGCAGTGTCTAGCTCAGACCAGAACTTGATTGATTGCAGTTCAATAATATTGATTGATGGTTTCCCAGCTGAGTCCGGACCCTTCTCGACTTATCATTACCAAACAGTACCTCTCTAAACAGTGTAGTGTGGTTGCCTACTGGAAGCTACAGGAGTGGCTGTATTAGACACAGCAGACAGGGTTTACAGCAGGTATACGTTATGGTAGATGCAGAGTTTCATCTGGATGGTCAGGCAAGACAAACAGAGGGAGTTGTGAAATTGGACACAGAGAAAAGAAAGGTAGAGAACAAGGAGCATGAATAGAAGAATGAATCACAGTGGATCCATCATAGATACTATAAAAAGAAATTACAGGACAGAAATAAAGTAAAAGCAGCTAAAACAGAGACGAATAAGAAGAAAACAATGACTATAGACTACAGACTATAGAATGGGATATAAAGAATTTATGATAGAGCAGATAGACGGTGAAAGCACATCAGATGAAAATGCTCTCTCATTCACCTCAGTCAAGGTCAAAGACAGATAGTCATACTGGTTTTACACAGTAATCCATCTGAATTATATGTAGCTGTTATTTCTGCTTCTGTCCTCACTTTACTTTTGTTCTCTGTGTCTTTGCACATCTGTGGGAAAACATGATAAAAACATGTTGAAAATACTCCAACACTTTTATCTTTGGTTTCCCTCCCTAAAGGTTTTCCCTTCCACAATGTACAGAATCCCTCGTTCTCTGAAAGACTTTGAACATTTTGTTCAACCTTTTTGATGTCCCTGTTCCCTTTTTGAATTATCTGAATCACTTGACAGAACATGTATTGCCAAACTTCTCAACAAAAAGCAGCATGTAAATCAAACAGAAACTCTCAAATATAACAGTGACATATGAATTAAAGTTCAGACGTCTTTCATTTCCAGAAGATTTTTTGTTTCCTGTATCTCTGTTTGTGCTCTGCTCCATGTCTTTGTATGCTTAATGTAGCAGAGACATGCTACTGTTTCAAATGTTTCAAATGCAGGAGTCAAACTTCTGCTCCACATCAGCTTGAATACCTGTTACTACTGCTGAACTGTCAGAACAAACTAACATAAAAACACTTTTATGTTGACTGCTTTTGCCAAAGACGGATGTCAGTTTGGGATCAGGCTTTGTGTGTTTTTGTCTCTCGTTCTCTGACAGTGGTGAGAAGACATCCAGTGTTTCTGGGCCGACCCCACCGAACTTGGCTGAGGCAAGAGCCTCTACACATCCAGAGGATCCTCCAAGTCAATCGGACGCTCTACATTGGAGCCAGGTAGAACACGCATCAGCACACACACACACACACACACACACACACACACACACACACACTAATTAACTTTAGTATTAAGCAGTTAATATATGGCTTCATCTGCAGTAAGCATACGCTTTAAGAAATCTGTGATATGTCTTCCACCACACACACATACAAGTACAAATAAAGCAGAGCCATTTTAAGCTTTAATATCAGTTGGAGTGTCTGTTATGACTACATTTGTTGCCAAGCAACATTAGCCTTTTTCATTGGACATTATTTTAGGAGTTACAGTGTCTGAGCCTCAAACCTAAGTGTAGTAAGAAAACATACCATCAGTATTGCTATATAGAATTGCAGTAGGACTAAATGAAGATGTAACTTTGGTCAGTGTTTAAGCATGATAACTGTAGACATATTAATATGCCAATATTAGCATTCAGCTCAAATAATAATAATAAAAGAGGAGCTGCACTGCTGGGGCACCTGAGTATACCATGAATCTATCTTCAGTTTATAATGCAAAAACAAGGCTCTGTGTAAAGTGTTTTTTTATTTTTGGGAGCAGCAAACTCACACAAACAATCTTGACTTCTTCTGTTCTCAGGTTTTAGCACATTTGTTTGCATTTGTCTTCTCATGTATCCCTGGTCAAATCAGAAAGTGGCACAGCAAGGCTCATCCACGTATCCATGAAAGAGCTGTTGCTAGCTTGTTTAAGTAGTGACTACTCAGGCTAGTTGAGCTGCTGGCAAGCTAAGAGCACACATGCTACCCAGTCTAATGAACATGCTATCTCTAGTCAGTCACAATAGTTCTCCAAACAAGCTAGCCAGCTAGCTAACTGTCAGCTAGCTAATGTTCACACTGTTTATTCAAGACATGTAGGCTATTTGTACCGTCAAGAGTGGAAGTATATTAAAACTGGATGGTGCAACACTAAGCTACAATAGCTTCCTCTGTTTTGGACTCTCCTCTCGTGTCCCATCGAGTGGATTTACTTTGCCCCTGTGAGCTAATCCACTGACAGGCAATTTTTATTGAAATGTATAGATTTCTCTGCATTTAAAGGCCGACATTTGGCCCGGAAAAGGTTTCTAGTGTGTTCTCCATCCTACGATGGTTCCCATATGTCTCCTAGTCTGTTGAATGTGCTGATCACAGACAAACAGTAGCCCTGGTGGTCAGGAGAGCCAAACAAGGACAGCCTGCTCAGCTGCACCAGGTTTACACTGTAAAGCTACATCTGCTGCTCCCTAGAGCCATTCAGGAGCCGAGCTGAAACAGACTGAGCTAACAAAAAACATATACCTCAAGATTTACTGCCCATGTTGTCAAAAAATAATTTAGCTTGAAAGAAGCTAAAAAAAATGAGACACAGTCAGTTTCCACATATGGCCCTGGTTATTTTCTGTAGTGGCAGTCTGGAAGTAGACTGAAGTGGTTTCCTATAAGAGACGCCACTGTGGTCCAGGAAATGACCCAGTCCCTGGCCTCCAGCTGGCCTAACCTCACTACTGAGAATTGGTAGTAAATATATCAAACTGTGTAACATGGTTCCCGCCATTCTGTCTATGTCAAGAGGGTCTATAAGCACACACATGCAGACAGCCTGATAGTAAAACTGCCCTCAGACAACTATGGCTACTGCAGTCTGCAGGTCTGCTTTAAAATATAACCAGAGCCATGAAGCAGTCTGAGAGAGATGTTCATTTCACTTTACAGCTGCAGATATTCTTACTGAATAGAAGAAGTAAACTGATACGAATGTCTCAGCCAACCGGACAATAATGAAATGCTAGACTGACAGGCAAAAAGAGTGTTTCAAGAGTATATTTATATATTTCTTGTAAGTGGCTAATAGTGTTTGTGGCTTCTAGACATAAAAAACAGATCTGTGTGCTTGTGTGAGCCACAGACAGCCCAGCGTGGGGCAGAGTTTTAAAATGTATAATACATAAGTAAGTACCTGTGTGGTGGTATGACTGCCAAAGCTTGTACAGAGTGCATGGCCTGATAAGAAGCCTCACTCTTCCCCAAATCCTGTCACTATTAGCATAGCTGCAAGTGCTGCTAAATCCCTGCCCTAAGCACCTGCTGAGAGCAGCTACCTCTCCCTGTCTTCTTCCCATCCTGCTAAATGAAAGTAAACTATGTGCTTGGCTGGTGGTAGGTGGAGTAATGCACCTTGCTGTGTTAAGCCCCAATTCATTGCTGTCAAGATGAGCAGCTGTGGATCCTGTGGTCTCCAGGCCTCAGTCAGAACCAAAGGGCTGATCCACCCAAATATAAACCAATTGGAGAGTGTTTACCTATTGACAAGATGACCGGAGGAACGAGGCCAACTCTTGATTAACTGTTCCAATTGTGATAAACGCGTAAGAGGTTTTTGCCATCTGGGTTTATCCATGTGTGTGTTTACGCTTTGCATTAGGTGGAAAGGGAAAGTGTGTTGACTTACTGCCAGGTTGGATGTTTCTCCGTTTAGTAGCCCACAGACGCTGACCTCAGAGGTAATCAGAGGTCACGGGGTGGTCACAGCCAGGTCAAATGCCTCATGGCAGACGGACAGGGAGACGCTCCGTTGTGGCAAAGACTGGGAAGCTTGGGAGGTAAAGCTGGCAAGCTGTTCAGCTGCAGAGTAGCTAGCAGAGAAAGTATACAGCATGCAGATGAAGGCAAGTATGTGGTGAAGATACCCACATGGATACATAGCATAGGCACTGTTTCCATACTTGATATTATAAAGTACTTTAAAGTGTGCACTCTGGACTAATCCACATAGGATACTGTTTGGCAGACAAAAGTTTAAACACTTTACCAATAATAAAAGATGAGTGAAGACTGATGTGACTTAAATTACAAGTTAAAGCTGCTTTTTTTGGAAATTTAACTAGGACTGCAATTAATGATTATTTTCATTATTTATTCATTATTATTTTCATTATTATCTATTAATTTACCAATTATTTTCTTGATTAATCCATTAAGCATTTGGCATATAATAGGCCAGTTTAAGAGACAAAACTGGCATTGAACTGGAATAGACAGTAGAAATTTTTTTAGATCAATTTGAGAAATACCTATGATCTTGTTCCACATTTTATTGTGTGTCGTGTAATGTGGGGAACTGGTCTTGGTATTGACTCGGCCTCGCTCTCCCACGGTCTTGGTCTCTACTTGGTCTCAGCCCCTAAAAGTTGTGACTGGGTCTCGATAAACTCTGGTCTTGGTCTTGAATTGGTCTCAATTTGGGCGGTCATGACTACACCAACAAACAACAACAAACTGATTTTCTGGAGAAATCTATGGTGGCCCGTAGGTTTCAGGCCTAATACAAAAGCCACAACACGAACACAAATCCCACAACACGAATACAAACGCCACAACACGATTACAAAAGCCACAACACAAATACAAATGCCACAACACAATTACAAAATCCACAACACGAACAAAAAAGCCACAACACAAATACAAATGCCACAACACAAATACAAAAAGCCACAACACAAATACAAACGCCACAACACAAATACAAAAAGCCACAACACAAATACAAAAGGCCACAACGGAAGTAAACCAGAACGGAAGTTGACAACAAAAGAGACGGTTAGTAACAGTGGATTACTCTCCGCAGAACACAGCTACACAGTAGTATAGCGGCAGTGTAGCCGTCCCACATTCAGGAGGTCCGGGTCCGAATTGTAGAAAGAACATTCTTTTTCAGGTGTAAATGTAGGCCTACATGGAAGAAGAACTTCTTACCCGTTTGATAAAGTAATACTTTGTTCTGGTCAAATAATATACAGCGGGATATTTGTGTGAATTAAACAACTATCTGTGCAGATTAGCATAAAAAATAGACTCAAAATGTGCTAAACAAAAAGCAAGGAGTCTCAGGTTACCACGGAGATGACTTTATACTTACTTATACAAAGGGCTGCGGAGGGTGCTGCAGCACCCCCTATTCATAGTTTTCACGTGATTCCATGAAAAATGCTCCCTTGGAGGGCAAAAAAGACGTTATTTTCCACTGGCAGGAAGCAAGTGATACACTGTTACTATGAGTTTTTTTACTTTTGTATTGCCAAAATGCTGGAAGTAGTTGTACTTTCTGATGCACAAATCGAGGAAGAGACAAGCCTGAGCTATGTTAGGTGAGGGATTCCCAACAAGATAAACGTAAACATTACCGCAGTCGAGTGGCAGCAGGGACCTAACGACAGAAAAATGGCAGCTGGTGCTATAACATGGCCTAGCCTACCGCGAATGTCACGTGACTGAAAACTATGAATTGACAGGGAGGAACACTTCTAACTATTGTTACAATATGACAACATAAAATACACCATGTTAGTGCTGAATGCAAAAGATGCTCTTTATGTTATACAGCCTAATAATTTGACATTTTATCACGATTAAATGAGCTACATTGGTGTGATGCGCGAATTGGCTCTGACAATATCTGAATAATCATGTACGCACAAATCATCCACCCACGCTCAAACCATCTAATTATTTTCTCAGATTTATCCCACCTCTTCGGGTCCTTTTAACTTTCCAGGTGATTTCTTAATTGTGTTGATCTTATGTGTTGTGTGGATGAGTGTTTTTGTTTAACGGTTTACTTTCATGATTAGAAAGGCATCTGTCAGTCATTTTAAACGTTTCCATCGGCGCTGTAATGCCACAGCAAATAGGCTATCCTGGGACATGAAGCTAATCTGCACAGACAGCTGTTTAATTCACACAAATATCCCGCTGTGTATTATTTGACCAGAACAATTACTTGTTTATCAAACGGGTAAGAAGTTCTTCTTCCATGTAGGCCTACATTTACTAATTTGGCAGACACTATTATGCAGAAAGAAGTCACCTGAAAAAGAATGTTCTTTCTACAATTCAAACCCGGACCTCCTGAATGTGGGACGGCTACACTGCCGCTATACTACTGTGTAGCTGTGTTCTGCAGAGAGTAATCCACTATTACTAAGCGTCTCCTTTGTTGTCAACTTCCGTTGTGGTTCACTTCCGTATTTGTGTTGTGGCGTTTGTATTTCCGTTGTGGTTTTTGAATTTGTTTTATGCCTTTTGTGTTCGTGTTATGGCTTTTGTAATTGTGTTGTGGCGTTTGTATTTGTGTTGTGGCTTTTGTAATCGTGTTGTGGCTTTTGTGTTCGTGTTGTGGCGTTTGTGTTCGTGTTGTGACTTTTGTATTAGGGCTGAAACCTACGGGCCACCGTAGAAATCCGATCCAGTGACATATACCATCATATAGCGAACAACGACACAGAAAGCAATACTACCAACGTTAGATAATAATAATAATTATCTGCTGCGAACATAAAGCTAACATGCACAGAGGAGAAGAAATACCGTTTATAATCATGGAAGACTAACAATACCGGAAAATTTATTTAATTACATCACGTGTGCTGGATTTTCTAGTTCCAGGTTTCTGTTGTAGTTTCCATTCCTTCCTTTCTTATTTCATTTTATGTATGTTGTCAGGTATTAAAATGCAGTTGTCTATGGTGTACTGTGATTGAACACCTTACATGAATTTGTTGTTGCAGCAGTGAGGGAGGCTTATGTATACAGATGTTTTTAAGCACTGTAGGTTTAATGCTTGAAAAAGGTCTTGACCATAATGTTCCTCTCTTACTGGGTAGTGGAGGATTTTACTATAGCCACTTTTCAATTTTGAGAGCACTTCAAATTCAATTGTTAGAATTTAGTACGTAATATCGAACTGGGACACGGCTACTTACACACCCTGGTACATGCAAACTCACACGCAGACATGCCATAGAGTACTCTGCTTCACTCAGCAGAACTGTCACTGGTTAACTAGATGGTCAACTCAAATATTTTCATTTCTGTTTCATCCAGTGAAGCAGCTTCTCCTGCAAACTCTCTTGTTTGCAGGCTCAGAAAGGCCCAGCGCTGCTCACACTGAACCACAGTCAGGCCACAATAGCAAGAGGAAGTTTAGGAAAACTAAAAAGAAATATAGGAAAACTTAGCGGTTTAAGATGTCTTGACCTTGAGTCTGCTGATGTCAGGTGGGCCAGAAGGAGAAAGTTCATGAGCCAGTCAAGTTAGAAATGATTCTTTGTTGACTTTGTATTAGCCAGGTCATAAAGGGTCGGAGGACTTTATGAAATAACAGCTCAAGCACGCACACATCCTACACACATATACACACATACACACACATTCACAAGGCCAGACAAAGAGACGGAAATAGGAGACTTTAGATTTGTAGGTTTTAGGGCTGGATTTGAAGTTGTGACGTGATGAGTCGAGGCTATTAAAGGCTGTGCACATGTCCTGCAACATAAAGAAAAATTAAATCTCTACACAGTTCACATGTTGAATCATAACTGTTACATGGAGTGCACATTAAATCCACTAACACACATATAAACAAACAAAAACATACAGGCGTTGCATCATTCAAACAACCTGGAAGGACAGAGAAGAGATGGAGAGAGAAAGAGAAGCAGCAGCATAAATAATTCCCCCTCCTCTGCACTATCAGAGGCAACAGTGCTGGCTGCCGGCCGCTCTGACTAGGAGGCCTGCTGCTATATTAATTATGTTAATACTGAGACAACGCTGAAGCATCCTGGATGAGATTATGCCTCACACTCTGGCTCACTCCACTGTTTGGAGAATGCTTAAACTCTGACCTGTTAAGCAGGGACGCACTGAGCAAGTGTTTGGTGATTTCGCACTTCTTCGCCACTTAGTCGTTGTCCTGTTCTGCGAGGTTGAGCAAGAGCGGGAATCTTTTAACAAACCGACAGGAAGTGAGGATGAATTATTCAGGAGTGGAGTAACCTGATGGCCTACCTGTGCTCTCATCATGCACGCATTCTCACAGCTCTCTCGTTCAGAAAAAACAGATACAAACACACATTGATACTCACACACATTCGGGTGGTACGAATACTCACATTGGCAGGCGCTCGTACATGGATGCACACATGATGAGGCCTCCCTCTGTCAAAGAAAAAGGAGAAACTAAGAGAAGTTGCTGCACAGATGGGAGGCAGAGCTGGGTCAGAGATGGGATCGATACTGCTGCAGTAACACGGCTATGGCAGATTTACAGATTAGTCCATTCAGAGCCCGGCCCTTTGCTTGTATGAAGCCCAAGCTTCAGATTCATCCCAGCAGATACCAAGACCTTGATCAATATGCAAACGTCAGCTTTTAGCTGCCTAGCCCAACTCTCATTTAGCTGGCATTTTCACAGGAACGTCCAAGGTTACAGCAGAATTATCAGCAGCTTAAGAGTGTGAGAAAAGCAGTGTTTGGTAATATCATTAATACATGCATGGTATTTGACCACATGTAGGCTGCATGTGGAGGTGTGCAAGCATCAGTATAACAACTTGATTAAATCATCCATTAATTCAATTTCAAGCTTTTTAATAAGACTGATAAGCTGAATTTGGGGCCTTTGAGCAAATTCGATGCAGCAAGTCAAGTTTAATGAGCGGAGGCAAAAAAGGCAAAGGGGAAATATGAGAAGTCATTATGTAGTCGGGTACAATTCTCATATATATCAGGAGAAATGGAAGACATTGTAAAGCTGTTCCCTAATCTCTAAGGGTCTGATCAACTTCAAACGAATAGATGTTTCTAATATGTATGCATTACATAGCTGTATGAGTTACTTAGTCGTAAAATGGCACAGATTCAATATATAGCGGAAATATTCATACTCAGAGTTTGCATAAAGTGTGTGGCTTGGATTTAATCCAAAAGAAAATCTGCATCGACCTGCACTGTCTTGAGCTAGCAATAATGTCTATGCTATACTTCTGCTGTGAAACTGGTATTCATGGTTTGCTTAGTGTGGTGTCTTGCCTTACCTTAAGCTTTGGCTAGTGCTGTGTTGGTGACTGCCACTCTTTATCTGTCTTTCTCTCTCCAGAGATGACCTTTTCCGTGTGGAGCTGGACATCGTTGCAGGAGACGAGATGTTCTACAGCAAGGTGAGTACCTTCTAAAGAGACACCAATAGCATTTACAACCTTTGGGTGGATGTAATACTTGCCGTTAGGCTGGAAAATGTCATTTTCTACTACAGAGAAATGCAAATGTAGGTAACCAGCAATGTTTTTTTTATGTATAGAAACGAACATGGGAGTCTAACAAGAATGACATCAGGATCTGCAGGATGAAGGGCAAACACGAGGTGAGACAGTGTGTCTGTTTCTCTATCTATCTCCATCCTTTCTTTTTAAAACAGACATATTCTTGATCTTTCTGGGTCTCTCAAAACAGCGCGAAAACAGTGCATTAAACCTACATTAATTGATTTTTGTTTTGGCAACATGCGGGCAGTTCAGCTACCTGGCTCTGCATCTGTAATATCTGGCTCTTTAGGTGCTACATTTTAAGGCTAAATGCTTCAATCATTGTCTGTCTACTGCTTGGTGCTAGGCATGTAGTGCTGTGGGTTTATTAGAACGTTTCTTGCTTGAAACAGCTGGATGCCGTGGCTGATAATGAGGTTCTTGAGAATGAACCAAAACAATGAACTAAAAGATGCAAAAATGCTTTGTATAATTGTGGAGCCAAGTCGTAAATGTTTTTGGGTTTGTCTTTTAGCAACCACTTTCATACACAAGAAGGAATTTGATCCATTGTTAATATAAATATTTTAATTATAGCTGCATTAAAGGGTGTCATCATAATAATGACAAAACACTTACTTTAAAATGACAGAGCTGTTTGTAATTCATCCATCCATCCATCGTCAACCGCTTATCCTGCGTACAGGGTCGAGGGGGGGCTGGAGCCAATCCCAGCTGACATTGGGCGCAACGGGTACACCCTCAACAGGTCGCCAGTCCATCGCAGGGCGTTTTTAATTCAGATAATAATAATACTTTTAAAAAACATTTATAGCCAAAACACTCATTTTCCGAGTTGTTTCTCAGAGTAATCAACAGTGTCAATAAATTGCAGTCTGATCAAGGTCACTGGTTCAACCCCCGAAAAGACCCTCCCTCCTTACCACCACTGGGTCCCTTGAGCGAGGCCCTTAATCCCAACCACTCCAGTGGAGCTGCTCAGTGGCCAGCAGAGCACACTGTGTGCTGTGTCCAGCTGTGAATTTGTGTAAGGTTAAAAAATATACATACAACATATACATCCTGTAGAATTGCAGATCAGTTGTATTGGATGGCAGTTTGTTAGTGAAATATGTTAAACTCGTGTCAAGTCACTCAGAGCTTTTGTGATACGCTATCTCTTCTTCTTACACACATTATTAAGGCACATGTTTTACCGTTCTGCCTGGAGCTTTGGTTTCATTGTGCCAGTCATCTGACTGTCATGCCTGCTGGCGCAGCCTCAAGAAGGAGGGGGCTTTGACTGTGTATTATATCATTGTCCCTGATCATAACCACCATCACACCCACACACACACACACACACACACACACACACACACACACACACACACACACACACACACACACACACACACACACACACACACACATTGATCAGAAGAACAGAGCCACTCCTACCTATACACCATTTGTTCTGCCATCATGAGTTGGGAATGCGGTTTGTGCCCTCCGAAAATGCAGGTGGGCGTCAGGAAGTCGATGCGGTGAGGAAGAGATGGAGTGAAACGTCCCAGCAGCCACCATCAGCCCACGCCTGAATACCTCTTATATCTCCAACACACACATTCCTAGCTGCTGTCTGCCACACATAAGCAGCTCGTATTCAGTGTCTGTGTGTGTGTGTGTGTGTATGTTGGTGTGTGTAGTGGTGATGGTTGGCGGGGGGACACATGGGCTCTGTCCCCTCCAGGCAGAGGGAAAAAATGACTTATTTAACACAGTGAGAGAACACCTGACATTAAATCTGTGTGAGACAGTGCCAGACAGAAACACAATGGAGAATAGAGGGACAGTGACAAAAAGCTAGGCTGAAAGGAGGGGAGGGAGAGTGAGAGGTGAGGGAGAGGAGGCGGGTAGATGAAGAAGGAGAGGAGAGGAAAGGAAGGTAAGAGGATAGGAGAGAGGGAGTGTGTCGGTCCCTGTTGTCCAGCCCCGAGGAGAGCTGTGGGGCTGACTGAGATATGAAAGGTCTTCTTGCCCCTAATGACTGTGCTGGCTGGTGAGGCTGTGAGTCACACGGCAATGTGAGGAAGATAAGAACACCGCCAGGTCCTCTCAGTCAGCTCTCTGGGCTCAGACACATATGAATGCATGTGCTTGTACACACAAGCAAAGTCACACACAATTACACACGCTCACTAGGGTACAGCCAAAATGGGTTTCATATCAAGTCAACACAGATATTTTTAAGTTACTATAGTGAGTGTTTTTTTAACTAAATTGTGGTAAAAGTTGGAACTACACATATATGGCAATATGATGTTGTCCTATACAACAAAAACTCAAAAATGACTGTGGAGTATTTTTTAAAATACATTTAAAGGTCTTAACAAAGTTTACATTCACTGTTTAAACCAAAATAGTGTTTTGTTTAATGTATTTCTTTTCTCAGAAAACATCAATATCAACATAATCTTTTAAACAATTTGACACTTTTATTGTTCACATTCATGTTCCCAGCATGTTGCTGGTGCATTGCTACTTTTGTTGGCACATTATGTCCGTCAGCGGAGTCAGTGCAGAAATGTGCATTTATAATACCTGGGAATCCCTTTTATCAAAAGTGCAGCTTAATGAGGCTTGGCTTTAATAAAGTAATCAAATTAGACTCAAGTGAGCAGAGCATTTCTTTCTTAATAGTTGATTATTTGGCCTTCATTCAATGAAGAATTGTGTTGGACATTTTCTTTAAAAAATATTGAGGTAAAGCGCTGAAATAAAATCAGCAAATTGCTAAGCTGCTAAGAGCCTTTAAGACACAATTTAAGATATATTTTGAGGTTATAATCAAAGATAAGAATTTTAATTTTTTTTAAAATGTAGATTTCGTTTATTTAAATGCATTTGATTTCTGGGATGTTGTTTTTGTTTCACCTTGTTGCTATTTTGCTCATTATGTTGGAGATTGAGCTGACTGAATATTTAACAAAAGAACAATCTTGTTCTGACTCTATGCATGCATGGAGGTTCTTACATACATGTAGGTGGGCCCACCGGCCCACATCTACATTATATATACTTAATGTTCATGCATATTCATGATTTTGAGTTAATTTTTTGAAATCTGCTCTTTGTTTCTCTCTCCTACACATACGTGAACACAATTTAAAAAGAAAATCTCAACAAACACAGCTGTCAAGCAATCATTTTCTGTGTGCCTCCTTCCCCCTCTATGCCCTCCCTTCCCCTTTTTCTCTCCTCCACTTCATCTCCTGAAAATGTCCTGTTCTGCTTGGGGGATGGTTGTGTCAGATGTGACACATTCACCACCTCGTAATTGGTTTTGTAATTAAATGTTTCTGCTTGGTTGATCACAAAGGACATAGTATTCTCCCTAATTAGGCTGAAAATTCAATATCCTAATTCTTTCACCTTTTTTCTACTCCCGTGTTGACCAAACGATTGTTGATGAATGCAACAGTCGGCCTCGCTGTCACTCACTCTACATATTCCTGTCATATTTTCCTTTGTCCTTTGCTTTCCGCTGTCGCTTTATCTCTCCTGCATGAGCCCTTTTCATGTCTTTCTCTGGCATTCCTTCCTCTTCTCTCAACCTTTCCCTTTCTCTTCTTATGAAAGCAAAAGAGAGCAAGAGATAGAGGGTGAGACGTTCCCCAGAGGTGGCTCTGTGCCAACACATCAGGCCATGGCAGCGTGGCATGCACATGCAGTCCTTATAGAACGCTTTTAAAGAGCGTTTGGGCATCGTTATAAGCAGCACTTAGCGAGATTGTTTGATCAATATTGCGTTGATCTTGCTCTCTAAGGAGGTTTTCAATTGTCCAACCCAAATGCCTTTTCTGGGTTGGGCAGGCAGAAGAATCAGTTTCACAGTTGTTGTTTTTTTGGCTACTAAATTAATCAATTTGAAATGCCGCATGTGGAGTCACTTTTTTTCCTTGTAGTTTTCTCACCAGAACTTGATATTTATAAAGTAGTATTGTGCTCTCTGCCTTTCGTGTTGCTGTACATTGAAGTCTTTGCTCAACCTTTATTATATGTTTTGTATAATGGCCCATTGTTAGATTCCCCAGAAATCTGTACTTTTGAGACTATCCCCGAGCTCAGAACACAATGCTTACGTGCAAGAAGGCCAAAAACCTCAAATATGGAGAACTGAAGATTTCGCTCACCTAATTCCAATTCAACAATGTAATGATGAAACCGAGACATAAATTTTCCAGATGTTTGCGCAGTATTTATTTCCCTTTAATTACTTCTGATACCTATTTTCCTTTATTTTTGATTTATCTTCACTTTTTGTGCTGTAATTATTTGGCATGTATTTGGACTTAGGAATCTACAGCTGTGAACTACATATCCTATGTGTACTACAAAGCACACATCAACCTTTTAGTGTAAGGTGATGAAGGTTAAGTGACTAAAAGCTGGCTGTATCATAAAATACCTGCCCACGTGTGCGGAGCCTTCTTTTTCATATATTCCAAATAAGCTAGTTTTCCTACAGGCAGAGAAAACAATATCACATGTAAAGTGACAATTTGTCACTGTTTTCTCAGCAGGTTGTCAGACAGAGAGCTGTCCAGGGGCGACTCAGTTTAAGTGTTTTGGGCAAGGATTGAATGGTGGTGTGTGTGTGTTTGTAAATGTCTGGTGTGTGTGTCTGTGTGTGTGTGTGTGTGTGTGTGTGTGTATGTTTCCATCAGCGAGTGGAGCTCAGCTGACCCCACGATCTGTAGGTCTTGTTGCAGGTCGGCTCCACCGCTGAGGATGCCACATGGCTGATGGGCCTGGAAAAACTCTCTGGTCCTGTCTGTATCTTCCTTTCTCTCTCTTTATTTTTTTTGCCTCCAATCTCTATTATCTCACTTTCCCTCCCTCTCTCCCCCTGGTGTCTAATGTTTGTTTGTGGCCTGTGGTGTGTTCAGTCAGAATTACAATCAAAAGGGAAAGAAGGGTTGCAGAGGGACGCGGATTAGCTTTAACATGCTGAGTAAGACCGCAGCACTCTGAACAGCACATTGCTGCTAATTTGGTACCGCTGTTAATTTATCTTCCGCCCACATGCACACAAAGACACACACACACACATGCACGCACGCACACATACTGTCTTCTTGTCATGGTGAGTCACTATTTTCAGTCAAAATTGTGCGTCAGGGATTTTTCTGGAAATGACAATCCTGTTGTTAATGAGTGGAGAAGAGGGCTCGCCAAACCTTTGTGTAAGTGAGTGTGTATTGTGTATACAGTACGTGTGTGTGTCAGTGTGTGGAAGAGTTCTGGCTCAATGGCGACTCTTGGCACAGCAATGTTCTCTTCTCCCTGGTCGCTAACATCAGGGGACCAGCCAGGCATGTAATGGAAACTTTAGAGATTTAGAGGAGCAGCTTGCTAAATACGACCCCCTGATGTACTGCCTTAGATGGCTTCTATTGTAGGAACATTACTAAAGCAGGTCATCATGATAACTTTTATGAGAGAATGAAAAATGCTGTGGTATTTTTTTTTTTTTGTGGAAGATTTTACGATGTATAAACCTGTTTTGTATTTCGGTTAGACAAACATGGGAATGCTGATTGTAGCCAGAGGTAAAACCCCATGTTCGTTTAGGTTTCTGGATAAAGTCTCATCATTAGACCAAACATTGAGCTCGGGCTTAGGCCAAATGAAAAGGCTGTTTATCATCGCAGACTAAAGGTTGAGTTCCGGACAATAGATGGAAAGCAGATGCAGAAGGCGGAGCCTCCTCAGTTGTAATGCTGCAGGTTGTTATGAGCAGATGTGTTGTAGCAACAGAGAACTTGTGTGTGTGAAGGATCACTTGCATTTATATGTCTACGAATGCTTTTGGTTTGTCTAAGGAGCATTACTGTGCCTGTGCCGAGAATCCAAGAGGCGAGGTATGCACTTGCTTGGTCAACATCTGCGGAGTAGAATGAGCTTGTCTTAAAAGCAAGAAACCTGCTGCCTGTGTAGCATCTAGTTTAAATAAATGCAGATTAGCATGTGCAAACTTGCTCACACATACACACACACACACACACACACACTCTCAAACACACTCTCTCTCACACACAAACACACACTTTTGCACCACCACTCCCTGTCTTTTCACACTCTCATTCTTCTGTACATTTCCATACCATTCACAGCTACGTCCATATTTACACTCAGGCGCATGCTCCTGTGTAATTCATCTGTGCTGCAGATTAATTTTTCAGAGCCCAGGCAGCTCTGCCGCTGTCAGTAAGAGGAGCAGGAAGAGGAGGAGGAGGGCTGCAGTCGTCTGGGTTTTGAGAAGGCTTGCCAGCCAGCACAGGTGGCGTTTTGTCTGGATTCTGCCCAGGGAGTGAGGGAGCAGAGAGAGGGGAGGAGGGAGAAAGGAGAAGAAGGAGGCACCAGGATGTACAGCATTTGGATTCATATATAATTGTTTAATTCAGTGATTCACTCCTTGATCCTTTGTAATTGGTTTATTTTTTTTTATTGTGGAAACCGTAGTAAAAGCTTAATCCTGCTGACTGAATTGGGCTCTGAAAAAAGACCCATACCTGGTGGTGCCAAATAGCTTTGCAGAATTGATGAATATGGGTTAATGAACAGCATGTATACAGCAGGGGATGAATTTTGTTGATGTCTATAAAGTGCAAATGGCAATCAAAACTCAATAGTTGAAATGTTACTAAGGATCTAACCCTTGTTTTTATCCTCTAGTCATGAAATGTTTCATTATATGTGTACAAGCACTGCCAAATGCACACATTTGCACAGTGGTTTGGCTCTTCTAAGTATTGACTCCCCTCTCTTAGTTGCTGGCAGTGGGACTGGGTTGTTATTAAGAGTGCTTCATCTGGCTTTGTGATTACAGCTTTGACCAAGCAGACAGACTGCAACCCCACCGACAAACAGCATGCAAATGATTCTCACACACGAGTATGCATCTGTGCTGTTATACACACACAGATATAAGCACCAGACTCACATGAACACATGCTGTATGTGGGGGGAGTGACACACACACCCAAATCCTGTCACTGCCGCTCCTCAATTTGTCACATAGTGCTGCGCCATTAGAAATTTACACCTCAAACTTGACACACCCCCTGCACACACACACGCACACACATTTGTACCCCTATCGAGATGGGGACATCTCATTGACATAATGCATTCCCTAGCCCCTTATCCTAACCTTAACCATCACAACTACATACCTAACCTGAACCCTAAATACAATCCTTACCCCTCAATCAGCAGTCTACATTTGGGGACCTCATTTTTTGTCCTCACAGTGACACCAGTCCCCATCAGTTAGTGTGCATTCAGGTTGAAGTCCCTACCGGGATATAAAAACACGAAACACTAACACACACACACACACACACACACACTGTCTTTACACTCACACATGAAATCACTTCCTTCTTTCCAGTTTTTTGCTGCTGAAAAACGAGATCCCTGTGGTGACTGAAGTGGGAAGGTGGAGGGGTAAAAGGGTGTGGGGTGTTGCATCTGGAATAACACTCACCCACCTCTCATATCACTGCTTTCCCTCTGATCTCTTTCACACACACACACACGTACAGACTGTCATTTGACATACCCGCTATCACCACCACCACTTCTGCTTCAGCTCTACTTCTCTTTCCGATGACTTCACTGCGGGTAGTGATCTTGAAGTAGACCCCATCTGGTGCGTGTGTGTGTGAGCTGGTGCCATCCTGGCTGGGACACTAGTAGTATGGAGAGGGGGTTGCTGGCTGTTGTCCACCGGTAATCTACTGTACATCACCACACACACACGCACGCACACACACAGGAGGAGGACTCTGCAAAGGCAAACTGCTGTCAGTACATTTTGGCTTTTAAAGGCCATGACTGGAATTTAAGTTTATTACCCATGGAAAAATGTGAATTCCTGCATAAACAGATTCACTTATGTGTGGATAGGTTGTTTGTTTGTTTATTATTATGTTACTTTATGGTTGTAACCCCTTGAGAGTGGGGTTTCCAAACTGGGAACCTCGGAATAAATCTTTTCTCTATTAACAGTAAAAGTACTCACATCAAAAGAAAAACTAAAAGCAGGATTGCAATTAATAACATTTTTCATTATGGATTAATCTGTTAATAATTTCCTCAAATTCTGAAAATAGTGAGAAACGTTGTCACAATTGCCCAGAGCCCAAAGTAACTCCTTCACAATGCTTGTTTTATCAGTCCAAACCTCAAAATGATTAAAAGTACGTTAAAATAATCAAAAGGAAAAGCAGCAAATCTTCACATTTGTGAAACTTGAAATGTTTTTACATGAAAAATGACTTAAACGATTATCAAAATTGTTGCCAATAAATTTTATGTCAATCAACTAATGTACTAGCTGTACTTCTGTATGTATAAACTGTCTAATTTATAACAAACCATTATATTTTTTAAACTCTTCATGTGTTTTGTGTAAATATCTTACTTTGCAAAGTAACTAGTAACTGAAGCTTTCAGATAAATGCAGTGAAAAGTAAAAAGTACAATATTTCCCTCTGAGATGTAGAGTAGAAGTAGAAAGTGGTGGTATGAAAAGAAAATACTCATGTTAAGTACAAATATCTCTAATTTGTACTTAAATGCAGTACTTGAATAAATGTAATCACTGTTCACCACTGTCTGACATACAAGTCGTGGCCAGAAGGGCTGGAATAGTGTGGTGGGGTGCGGGCCAGTTAGTTTGTTTCTCATTTACTAAGCCATGACTGTGTACAAACACCGTTTTTTTTTTCAGTGCTCACACAGAAGGGGCGGCTAGCGGACCCTGAGGAGATATTGGCTGAATTTGACAAAAAGACATGTATTCCACCTTTAAAATATATAAACCCCAATGTTTTTACATACAAATTGTCCATATTATTTCTATCTTTCTTTTCTTTTTTCATACTTACATACATTTTTATCTCAGCCAGATGTATATACATTCACAATTAAGAGTGTGTGAAAACTAGTTAGCAAGCGAGCAGTGAAGTGTAAACAGTAGATGAATTGTAATAGATAGCTAAAAGTAATAAATAAATAGTTCAAATAGTTAAAAGTAGTAGTTGTTAGAATTGATTGCTAAAAACAGTGGATAAACAGTTAAAAAGTATTGCCAGAAATAATGGATAAACAGTCGGATTGTCTAAATGGTTGAAATGGTTGGGTAAAAGTATTGGACCCTGTGGTGTAGGTGCAGCATTACAGCAGTGTCAAGCATACATCAGAGGTTACATGTGTTCAGTCATTTATACTATAAACACACTGACACACTATACTGTTGTCGAGGCAGGAGATTAACTTGAAAGTCATTCTTCTCAGTTTCACTACACTAACATTTATTACATTTTGGCACTGTGGGGCAAAAGCAGCTATTAAGTCATGTGGTGCTTACACGACTTCTCATTTCAAAGAATATGCGTGAAAGAATTGAAACTGTGACTTGGTTTTATTTAGTCATTAAGCAGACTTCACGTAGTTCGACGCCTCACAGTGGAGAAATTAGCCTTAAATCTGCTACTTGTTTTCAAATCCTGAAGCTGGTTTGGATTACCGTCTGTCAGTCAACAGGAGCTGTGTGTGTGTGTGTGCGTGTGCGTGTGTGCCTGTGTTTGTGTGTGTGTGTGTGTGTGTGTGTGTGTGTTTGCACATGTGAAAGGGGTAGACACTTAAAGTCTCTGCAGGCTACGTGCAGACTGTATCAATATGATTGACAGCGTTAATGGTGTGATAATTCCACACATCAGGAAACTGAAAAGCTTCATTTCACAGAGCGGTTTGGATAATAAGTCTCTGAAAAAATAAACCCAGTTTTTCCTCTATTCGCTCCATCATCTTGCCTTTCTGCTCTTCAGTTTTACCCATCCTGCATATAAAAGCTCTCCCTCTCTTTATTTCTCCCTCTCCTGCAGGATGAATGCCGTAATTTCATGAAGGTGCTGCTCAGCAGGCAAGGGGGCTTGTTTGTTTGTGGGACCAACGCCTTCAACCCGCTATGCGCCAACTATACTGTAAGTACTGACTAAACACACTCTTTTCAACATCACAGCTGTACCTGTCCCAAACCTGTGATAATGTCATTATATAGTCATTGTGATTGGTTTGACATCATTGATAAATACCATGTCTATTTTTTTCTAAACAGAGGCCTCACTTTCACAACAATTAGTGCGCCTGTTCAGGTGAAAACTTACAGCTTGATTAGAGTTGTTTGTTCAGCAGTCGAGGTGGTGTTGACTTCCTCCACAGGACTTATTTATCCTTGTTGTCTGGCAGTACCAGTGCCTTGTTTTCATGAGATACAACAGTTGTTATTTCTCGGTGGTTAAACTTTGTGGTCTGCCGAGCTTGTTATCATTGAGAGTCAGAGACGGATAATCAAGAGGAACACAAAGAGGGGTGACGAGGAAGAGGAGGGTATTCAGAGAGTGAGGGTGGAGACGTGACTTGTTTGACTGGATTTCTTTTGCTAGCGCTTATGATAGCAACTACCGCAGTTGGCGGCAGGATTTAGGAGACACCAGGGTTCAAGCTACAAGTGTTGACTGACCTGATTCAAACAGTGTTTTTTTGAATATTTTCTCCGCTCTTTCCAAAATATGTTTGTCAGAGTCGGAAACTTTGTATCCAACTCACCTGAATCCTCCACCATACAGCTGAATGTGCTCCACTTCCCATCCAGCCCCTGTCTCGCACAATTACAGTAACGATTGCAGACTTGTTGAAGAAAAACTACACATAAATATTAATCATTGGCTCGGCTGGTTTCACATCATTCTGCAGGAATATTAAATGAGGGATGAAGACAGTTGGGTTGGAGAAAGTGAGAGAAAGAAAAAAAAACTTTCACAATCAAAGGCTTTTTCTGATAAGTGTTATTTTCAGTCTCTCACATTTCAAACACTGAGACGTACCTGGCCCATTATCTGTCAGCCACTAATGACATCTATGACAGTGTATCACGCACCTGTCTCTGCTTGATAGGCTGTCTGTTTCTCTGGGGACTAGTTAGTGATGCTAGCTACTGTTTTATTTATAGCTGGTTTTTAATTAAATGACATCTTTAAATTATTTCGGTTTCAGCTGTGGATTTTGGTTGTGTGTGTGTGTGTGTGTGTGTGTGTGTAACAAAGCGAGAGAGATATGCAGAAGAGAGATTTTACTGTGTATACATGTATGTTTGAGAGTAAGAGATTAAAACTTGTGTGTTACTTTATGTGGGTGTGTGGACCCCTATGTGTGTGTGTGTGTGTGTGTTTGTCTCTTTTATTTATGCATGAGAATGTGACTCTCTTGTTGCTGCTGTGCCTAATTGCCACCAGTGAATCATTAGTTTACACTCACGGTAACACTCCCTAATTGCCATTCTCTTTGTTGCTTGTTTTTCATGATGCTGCTGTAGATTCATTCATTTAGTTTGCTGATTGATGCATCTGTGTGTGTGTGTGTGTGTGTGTGTGTGTGTGTGTGTGTGTGTAATAGGGAGACACTCTAGAGATGGTAGGAGACATGGTCAGTGGTATGGCGAGATGCCCCTATGACCCCAAACACGCCAATGTAGCTCTGTTTGCAGGTAAGACACACCTTTTGTAATAGTCTTTACTACCTCACCTGCACATGGACTGCACAGCGCTCTGGCACTATGTGCTGCCAAAAATGTAGTTTTTGCGATCACAGTGATAAATATCATTGAAGGGTGTCATTATTGTTGGGATTTTTGACCCTTGAATACGCTATATACTGGAACATCAACGAAACTGAGCAACTGTGATTATTCAGTTTTATTCTCCTTTATTTACTCCATCGGATTTAAACACTTCACTATAATCAATCAGGGTTTTTTCTGTGGCTGAAACTGTAGGGAGTCATTACTGCTCAGCCATCATCCCATTACCTGATATTAGCTAGGAGTAAAAATGTTGGGTTTTTTGTGTGAAAGTGCTGCTAAATTGCAATTATGTTACTGCAATCACATTGTTGACTGTTCAGTGATGTTTATGATGCAGGACCTTCATTATACACTAACACTCACTCTCTTTATTGTTTGCAGTTATGCTGTTGCTTTGGTAGGCTGTCCAACTCACTAGTGTTTCTGTATGTGTGTGTGTGTGTGTATGTCAGAAGGGAATCTGTTTACAGCCACAGTGACAGACTTCCTGGCCATTGATGCGGTGATCTATCGTAGCCTTGGGGACATTCCCGCTCTGCGCACTGTCAAGCACGACTCCAAGTGGTTCAGAGGTACCTACAGATGTGCACGAGCATGTATGTGTGTTTCTGTATGCATGCTAAGATGTGCTGTTTTAGTGTAGTCAAGTCAAGTCAAGTCAAGTTTATTTATAAAGCACATTTAAAAACAACCAGAGTTGACCGAAGTGCTGGACAAGTTATACAGTAAAAGACATAAAAATTAAAACCAGATAAATTAAAACAGACCAAACAATTAATGACGTACAGCAATAAGACAGAGAAGCAACACAGTTAAATACAAAATAGATAAATAAAAACATGAGTGCTGGTGCCTCTAAACAGACTCAAACACCATCGACACATTTAAGTCGAGACTTATATGTGTCGATGGTGGGGGATGATCTAATAATCAGGGGTAAATTATTCCACAGTCTCAGGCCACCACTGAAAAGGCACGGTCACCCTTTGTTTTCATACGAGACTGTGGGATGGCCAAGAGGGATTGGTTTGATGATCTGAGGGGTCTGGACGAGTGATGAAACATTAGGAGTTGTGAAATATAAGATAGAGCCAGTCCATGTAATGCCTTAAAAACAATTAACAGCACTTTAAAATTGACACTATATTTGACTGGTAACCAGTGAAGAGCAACCAATGTTGGAGAAATATGGTCCCTCTTCTTTGTACCAGTTAACAATCTAGGAGCTGCATTTTGAACAAGCTGCAAGCGTGATAAAGATGAGTGACAGATGCCAGAGTACAGGGAATTGTAGTAATCGATTTGAGAGGATACAAAAGCATGTAGGTCCTTTACAGAGAGAATAGGTTTAAGTTTAGCTAGGGTCCTTAAATGAAAAAAGCTACCTTTAACAACAGAGTTTATATATTTGTCGAATTTTAATGCTGAATCAAAGATAACCACTAAATTCCTAGCAAAGGGTTTTACATTAATGGACAGTTGGCCTAGATTTTTTCCTCAATTAAGTTAGGGGAACCAAATAATATTACTTCTATCTTGTTTTAATTTAGTTGGAGAAAGTTTATTACCATCCAATGCTTAATATCATTTAGACAGTTGGAAATGGACTGTAGGGACTTTGAATCACCTGGCTTCAGAGGTAAGTACAGCTGTGTATCATCAGCATAGCAGTGTTTACGGAGAATGGAAAAGGTTCTATCTTTCAAGTAAGACTGAAACCACTGTAGCAAGACACCCTGGATACCAACCACTTGCTGGAGGCGATCCAGGAGGATATCATGATCAACGGTGTCAAAAGCCATGCTGAGGTCAAGCAAGAATAAAATAGCACAATTTCCAGTATCACCAAACAGCATCAAATCATTTAGTACCTTAAGCAGTGCAGTTTATGTGCTGTGATGTACCGAGAGTCGAGAAAGAATGTCCAATATTTTGGACATAAAAGATAATTTAGAAATGGGCCTAAAATTATTTAAATCCATGGGGTTTTTTAATAAGAGGCTGAACCACAGCATGTTTAAAAGTGGATGGAACAATTCCATTTAAAAAAGAGCTATTTATTACAGACAAAACCTCTTTCAAAAGACACGAGGGGACAGTGTCCGTAGGGGAAAAAGTAGGCTTCATGAGTGAAGCTATACCGATCAGTTCTGACAAGGCCACAGGCACAAAACAATTTAGAGAGACAGGGCATGGGGCTAGCAAAGATGGATCAAGATTGGAAGGTGAGATTTCAGATCTAATGACGTTAACCTTATCAATAAAGAACCTCAAGAACTTCTCTGTAATTTCAGAGGTAGCATCAGGGAGTGCAGTAACATGATTTAGTGCAGTATTTATTACACTAAACAAGGTTTTAGGGCTGTGTGCATTTCTAGCAATGATATCAGAGAAATACATTGCTTTTGAGACTTTGACCAGGTATTGGTAAGATGTTCGGCAGTTTCTTAACATTTCGTAGGACACTTCCAGTTTATTCTTTTTCCAGTTCCTCTCTGCCTTCCTGCATTCCTGTCTAAGGGCATGGTTCTCACTATTAAGCCAAGGCTGAGCTTTGACTTTGGATCTCTTAAGCTTGAGCGGGGCAATGATGTCAAGGATGTCTGTGACAGTGGAATCAAACAGAGTGATTAGTGCCTTGTGTCCATGGAGGCGGACACTGTCTCTGTAAGTTTAGCAAAAGGCGAAGCTATAAAGGCATCAGAGAGTTGCCTAGCTGTGGAGTAATTAAGTGCTCGAACATACTGATCTGGCATTTGAGATTTTGGTAATGGACATGAGAGTAAAGCAGTGAAGATGACAGGTTTATGATCAGATAAAATAGTATCATCCAGCTCAACATTTAAAAAAGGAAAACCTAATGATAAAACCAGATCAAGTGTATGTCCATGTTCATGTGTAGGACCAGTAACCCACTGAGAGAGATTAAATGAGTCCACAAGTTGCAGAAACTGGCTAACCAATGGCTTTGAAGGGCAACAGACATGAATGTTAAAATCACCAAGTATAAAAATTATATCAAAGTTAGGCACAAACAATGATAGAAACCTAGAGAATTCGTGACCAAAGTCCTTATTGTACTTTGGTGGTTTATACACAAGTGCACAAAGTAGTGGGCAGGCCAGTTCAACTTTAAATACTTGCACTTCAAAGCTAGTGTAGTTGTCAACCGACAGAAGTCTGCATGTAAAGCAATTCTTAAAGACAGTCGCTAAGCCTCCACCCTTACCTGTTGTTCTGGTGTAGGTCCACGGGAGCAAAGAAGTTCCCCTCCTCATCAGCATTATGCCGCTGATGTTTTCGCCAGAGTCTGATGTTTTGAGTGCGTGTCCGCATCACTTAGCAGCATGCAGGATCGATACACGAGTCAGTGGCAGAGGGCTGAGTCAGCAGCCTGACAGCTCCACGTTCAGGTCACTGGACAAGAAGCTGTCAAACATCCTGCTCCTTGACAGAGTTTGGACCATCCCCATCACGGTCAGACCTAACCATGACAATGAGACGGTGAAAAATACACAATATAAGACACATTCTGTAGTTTGTAGCCGGTCCTGGGTGTAATAGAGCCAAAATGCATAGCGTGAAACCGAGTTCTCAGAAACATCAGGGAGTCATAATGTGCTTATTGTTTAGTGTGAAATCCCCTTTCACCATGTAATGAAATTAAGCAGGGCCTGTGCCTCTTTCTCACTGCCCTCGGTGTCGTGGGAGTGGATGATACATTTGCAAATGGCTTCCTCATGGTCCATCTGCTGTATAGGCTACTTCATTGAACCCATTCTCTCCACACACCTCTCCCATATACTTTCCCCTTCTTCTCTCTCTCACTTTTTTTCTCTCTCTCTCTCTCTCTCACAATATAGAGCCGTATTTTGTCAGTGTCGTGGAATGGGGTCCCCACATCTACTTCTTCTTCAGAGAGATAGCCATGGAGTTCAATTACCTGGAGAAGGTATAGAAGACTTTCTGATCAAAACCCATCTTTCTCTCTGAAATCTCAGTGTTCACACAGAGGAAACTGATGGTCCATTCAGGGCTTCTTTTCAAAAGGACTGTAGAGGAATATGTGAATGTGTCGTTAAAATGTAACACCATGAAGAAAGATGTCGGTCTAATATCTCTCTGGTACTATTATTTGGATGTCAATATCAAGTCTTTTCCCACAGCTACACTGACTTTTTATCCTTGCATTTGTTTGTCTGCATATCTAATCCAACAAATCACGTTATAAGCAAACAACTCATGTCTGTGTTAACCTTTTTTTTATAGCAACTCTGTATTTCCAGCCCTTGCCAGAATTGGGGATACATCTTCATGAAATATCAGCATCAGGAAACCCGTTTCTCTGATAAATTAGCAATTCACATTTCAGGAGAAGTGCTTGCACAAGGTCTCAGGCTTTGACATGTTTACAGAGAGCAGAGTAAATGGATACTTAAACAGTATCACCGTTGTGTGGATGAGGGTGTTCAAAGAAGCAATTTTGAGATGCACTGACATTTTCATGAATAATTGATATTAAATTTTCTATTATAAAACAATAATCTGTCAAAATAGGGGTTCCACATTGCAAATAGCATGCAAATAGCATGCAAATGACTCTCACCCTGGAGTTGAAAAGAGCTTTTAAATATGCCTTTTTGAAGATGAAACCCAAAGCTTGGGAAATATATCCTAACTCCCCAGGTTATTATTGGAGTTATATGTGAGCTGTGCTTATACAGACATGCCTGTCAGTATGTTGCAAATGTATTATACACGGCCATTTTCTATGCCTACATCTGCTTCTCCGTGCCTGACTACTCACAGGTGGTGGTGTCACGTGTGGCGCGGGTGTGTAAACGCGATCAGGGAGGATCTCAGCGCGTCCTGGAGAAGCAGTGGACGTCGTTCCTGAAGGCCCGGCTGAACTGCTCTGTCCCTGGTGATTCCCACTTCTACTTTAACCTGCTCCACTCCACCAGCCCCATCATCAGGATGCACGGCAGGGACATAATCCTGGGGGTGTTTTCCACACCGGCTAACAGGTACTAAATAGACATACAAACATATAACTGTAAACAGGCTACAAAGCCCACAAACATGTCAAAGCGGTGCACACAAGGACAGGCACTCAAGATCAGTGGTTCCCAAACTTTTTTGTCAGTTGTACCCCAAGATCCCTGTCAGATGAAATCAAGTATCCCTTTTATCAACACCGTCATCTATTTTAACCATTAATCCTTTACTTTTAGCTAGCATTTTAACTGTTTATCTATTACTTTTATCTCTATTTTAACCAACCATCAGTTACTTTTAGTTAACTTTTTGAACTGTTAATCCATTACATTTAGCTATATTTGACCATGTTTCCATTACGTTTTGCTAAATATCTGAAATTTTCATCCATTTATCCATTACTTTTAGCCAACTGTTTCTACCTCTCTGCTCGCTTGATAATTAGTTTGCACGCATCTCGACACATGGTGTTCAGGTGTTCCAGCTGACTCAATATGAGTATATATTTTCTTTATTTAAATTGTAATTGATCTTTTTTTCAAATTATGACTACTTAAATTACAGCTACTGCTACTTATTACTACTCCATAATCTTTATACGGAGCCCCAAGCAAGCGCAGACCCTGGTTAGGAATCTCTGCTGTAGATCAATACTCAGCCTGCTTGCCTTCAAATAAGAAGGTTATTTGTGTGTATGTGTGTGTATCCACATGACACAGGAAAAAGTGAACAGATTTAAATCCATGTCCTCTCTGGAAAGAAAAAAAGGGAATTCAAGTATACTGGGAGTGTTTTACACAGACATAGAAGCACATCATGTCGTACTTCCCATGGAGACTGAGATGGACACACACGCAATGTGAAGCAGCACTCACATGGCCTAGCGGACCACCATAGTTTGTTCCTTCACCTATGAAGTCAGAAAGAGCAAGGCTTCTTACAGGCCAAGCAAAGCTCCAGAGAAATGAAAGTTGCTGTGTGGAGGTACAGAGGTCAAGACTGTGGAGTACAGAGTAATTTAAGACACGTGGAATGCCTTCATTGAGGAAAAAAAGGGTGATTTGTTGAAAGACAAGATTAAATTGAAAAAAGGTGAGAGGAGAGGAGAGATGCTGCCTTTTAAATGGGGGATTATTGGACACTGGGGGTATTTGCAGAGCCCACAAACAGCAAACCAGAGAAATTGAAAAACAGAGCGAGGGATGTGAACAAAAAGATTTATGTGAGCTTCACATACAGTGTGCTTCTGATCCTTTTGATGCATGAAACATAAATATCTGCTTCTACATTGGAGACACACAAAGGTTTTATAGTTACTCGATCTAGTGTTGAGTCTTACATTTTCCTAAAACAAGTTAGAAAACAGCCAGTGGGAAGAGATAATTCCCCTTACTTCAAGTGCAAATAAACAAAACTGTTTTTTTGAGTCATGTGTCTCTTTTATGATACAGTGATCTACTTACTGTAGCATTTCAAAATTAGTAAGGAAAATACGATAAGATTAAATCAGTTATTAAGAGGGACATTGTATTGTACATGTTTATGCAAACATACTCCATGTGTCCTTCAAGTTGCACAGAAATAAACATACTCTGCACACTTTAAAATAAGGTATATTGCAGTCTAAGTGTTCAGTCTACTTTTTCTGTGATGGCCCACTCACCCACTATCTGAATGGCTATGATACCACTGGCTGTGATACTGTGTCTGGTAGTGTGAGCACACTGAAGCAAAAACATACAAATATTTGCAGCTGCCTGCTATTTGATTCTGATCTGGAATCAATACAGTCTCTAGCTTAAGTGCAGCCAGCAGAATAACTATCACCTGTCAGTGGTCCCACTGTAATGTCTAGTTTTTTAAGATAGAAAAATAAACCCCTTACCAGTTGCAAGGCAGTGTTTCAAAGCAGTGGGCGCCCGACCTCCCAGTAAGAGACAGGGCAGAAAGAGGAGAAGAAAAAAATAGAGACAATGAGCTAGTAAATGCGAAAGGAGAGAAGACGAAGGAGAATAAAGAGGGAGATGGTGAGCAAGATGGGGAGAGATGGATGAGAAACTCAAGGACAGGGAAGTCAATAATGGACAACATGTGCATCCCTCGCACTCTGAGATCTGTTTCATCAGCTGCATCTTATCTGCGTGTATTTAAGGTCTGCGCTGCGAAAAGGGGCCACTGCCTCCACAGACAGATGCTTCACACACACACACACACACACACACACACACACACACACACACACACTCTCCTGCTCTCATACACAAACACATACATGCACAAACACACTTACAATGGTTCCCAGATAACAGCATTTACAGCCTGCCACAGCGGAGAACCAGCTGAACACACACACCCCTGGCTGGGTAAACTGCCACCGGGTCCTCCTTTAAATAACTGCCAGCCAAGAGAAAGAGAACGGGAGGTTAGATGAATAGATGAGGACATGTGTGATGGAGGAAAATGAACACAAAGAGAAAGAGAGAATGTGTGATTTGAGCTGCAAAACTCCCACTGGCCTAGTGTGGCCCACTGCGCCACACTGGCTAAGTGCTTGCCAGACAAATTGCTTTGGCTGGCAGGGTGCAGCGAAAACAGCATGAAGCCGGACCTGGGAGTGGAGAAATAGCTATTCTTTCCAGCCATTTGGCCCTGCGCAGCATATATGGGAGTGTAGTATGGGAATGACGGGTGATGTCAAGGTGTTACTGGGCCCTCCTGATGTTTCCCCAGGACACTCATCTCTTCCTGTGCCCACATACTCCTGGGATAATTTTACAGCCACACACCAGCTCCTCAACTGTTATCGAGTTGCATTTGCAGGATTCTTCTGTCTCCGCTTCCAGAGAATGAAATCGCCCCCAGTTGTCAATTCCTTTATACATGCATCTCTGAAGCCCCAGGCCCTTCCTCTTGAAGAAGAGTGAAAGAAAAAATCAGATTTCCTACTAAGCACCTCCTGCACTCATGCTCCTGATGCTCAAGAGGTCAAGGTGTAGGGAGCAACAGCAAACTTGAAAAAAGCACAAGAAGAACATGAGGGAGAAGAAGAGAAAATAAGTACTTTCTGCTTTATTTAGCAGCTTAAATAACTGGATATATGTGGAAAGAACAGCAGCAAGATGTCAAATAGAAGGCTTACCATCATCATCCTGCACTGGACTAAAAACAAACAATTCCCATTATTTCTTAGCTATTGTTTTGGCAGCTGAAAATGTCTATTGCTGCTGGTGTAGACTGATGTGGGCTCATTAGGCTTAATGGAGCCACACAGGAATGCAAGGAAAACATCCCATCCAAAGTAAAGTAAATCTAGTGCATCCTGAGAGTGGGAGGCCATGTTTGGTTTTGGTTGCAAAGAATCCCACTTGACAGGGTCAGACAGCAGGATGTCCCTCAGGGACAACACAGCAGAGGAGGTGAAATGAGGAGTACAAGGAGCAAGGGGAGAACAGGTTTACTGAGCTAGGAGATGCGTGACACAGATATGCAAAGTTGTCCCCCCTCCCTGCACAAGGAGAGAAGGCGAGGGAGTACTTAGGTCTCTATAGCTAGAGCTTTAGACATGGTATGGGAGAGAAACACTGCATGTAGCTGACAGCAGAGCCATGTCACAAGGAAAATACAGAGTTGTTACAGTGGTGTTCACGAGTCAACATGGGCCAGGATAGTCAGGTTGAGGAGAGAAGAGAATACCCACCTGATGTGGAAAGGTCATGATAAAGTATGAGGAATTAGGTTGCTTGAATACTGAAAAAGGAGATCAGGTGAGAAGTTTGTGGTAGAATAAATGAAAGAAAAAGGATGGCTGAATAATATTAAATGGTAAAGGGTTGGTGTAATGGGTCTCATAAGTCCTAAGTTGAAATATGAAGCTTTTCATGATACAGTTTTGATCGTAGTTTAATGTGTCACGTTTTGCAAAAACAGCCCATTGGTCAGTTCTATAGGACTATGATTGATCAGAAATACCTTTATTTATTTCAGGTTATTGGCTCTCTGTGTGTGTCTCTTATTTTAAGTCTTAATAGAAACATAGCACTTTTATCATCCATCCTTATCCACTGAATAAGAAAATGCACCATTTTGGCCTCTCTGATACCCCCTAGAGGTTTAAAGAAATAGCTTGACATTTGCGGAAATGCACTTATTTGCTTTCGATTACTATTTGTGATTTTTTTTTTTTACTGGAGTCTCCGCTGGTTGCCTGGCAACAGCAGGACAAGACTCAAGTAAGTCACTGCTCCTGGCACAGAGTCCCCCCGTAAAACTGCACCATGTTGTTTTTACACTTTTCTTGTGCAGTTTTCAACAAGAATATAATGTTCAGTTAATTACGGAGCTTTGGAGGTGCTGGTAGGCATATTTGTTTTGCATATGCACAGAGCCAGGCTAGCTGTTTCCCCTGACTGTCTTTAGGCTAAGCTAAGCTAGCCGCCCCCTGGCACCAGCTTTATATTTACCGTACAGACATCTAACGCTTGGCAAGAAAGCTAGTAAGCGTATTATCCCCAAATATCAAACTATTACTTAAAAAAATGCTAGTAGAACCTTATTCTACTGAGCAAAGAAAATACAATTTGGGTTATTTGGACTAAAGTTCATTAGTTGTGTCCAAGGTCACGCCCATTACAAAGTTTGTGTATCTGATTCTGCCAAGAAAAAACGTTAATCTGAAACCCCTCTGGCTCTGTTTGTTGGAAATCAAGTCATGTCAATCAGTGAAGTTGACAAACACAAAAGCTTTCTGACCTTAAAATGTATTAACATTTGAGCAAAGTGTAACATAAAATTAGCCACGTGGGTAATTGATACCATATTTCACAAGGTTGATGGTTATTTTTGATATTTAGAAGCATGCAAAAGTTCAAGACAATTTATCAGCGCTAAACCCCTTTTTAAAGGATTAACAGTGAAACTTCCCTTGACTCCCAGCTTCTTTCCCCTCTTCCTCGTCTACCCCTATACAAGGCATCATGTGTCTGTGAGGACTGTGTTATTCCAAGCTGTCAGTGAGCTTGTTAAACAGTGAGGAAGTACTTTAGACCCCACAGCAGCCCTCTCAAACGGACGCCCTATGCATCTTGCCTAGACAGCCTGTCACTCAACCCCTGTCAAGGAGAAAGAGAGAAGGCAGGGCAAATGGCTATGGGCAGGGAGAGCAAAAAATTTAAGTTAACAAAGGAAAGTAGTGAGGGCGACAGAGAAAAAGGATTGAAAATGAAATTTGTGTACAAGATAACAACACATATGGACTCAGAAACAAAAGTATGAGAGACTACTACAGAATGAAAATGAGAATAATTAAGTGAATTTGCAGAGAGAAACAGCCTGAGGCCTTTTGGCTAGCTTCTGTTAGATACACAGCCCTACACGGGGCAAACCCACTGACCTGCAGCGAGAGAGAAAAAGAGAGCTGGGAAAGAGGTAGAGAAAGGAAGCCAAGCTGGCACCGGTGCAGAGCTGGCAGACATGTCACACATAACATCTGGTGCCTGCGGTCCTGAGAGAGACGCAGTATCGTCCACAGATACGCCTATATGCCTGCAGTCCTGCCACACTGGCCGGGGTTGAGTCACATCCCTGTGCCTATGAATGATAAGTACTGAGGGAGACAGCGTGACCTGATCAAATGGCACATCAGGAGAGCACGGCTCCCTGCTGCAACCAAAATCCAGCCTTCGGGCACTGCCTTCCCAAACAAACCCTTCTGTGACTTTCAAAGGGGCATTCAACAGAAACACCGCTGCAGAATCATGGGGCCAGACCTTCACATCACCAGCTGGACGTTTGTTTTTTAAGACAGAAAGAGAGAAAGAAGGCAAGAAACAGATGGGCCATGTGTGGGATTTATGTAGCAGCAGGTTGCAGGTGACTCAGTGTCTCAGCTTTTCTTCGTGTGCATCACTAAGGTATTAGAAATTATTCACTAGCTCTCAATCCACGCACACCCTTAGTCATTGAAGAGGACACGTTTGGAGAGTTGAATCTCGGAGCAGGAAGCATGGGATGTTTTTAAAAAACTCATTCCTTATCTCATCCTGACACTGCTCTCTTTATTTCTCTGTCTCTGTAGTGCTTCCTTTAGCCAAAACACAAAAATTTAGCATCAGGCTCAGTGAGGAGATCTTACTTTGTGTGAATGTGTCTCTATCACTATCTCTAGATTTGTTTGTGTGAGCGTGTGTGGGCTATGGACACAGATGTTGTGATCCCTGTTGCAGGGTTCACGGGTAGTTAAACAGCCTCCGAGGTGCACCGGGCATTTTATTGGAATGTCTTGTTGGGTTCACGAGAATCCCTCCCCCACTCTTTTCATTTTGAAAGGCAGAATATTTGGTGACTGATTTCCTATTTCGTTTTATATTCCAGGAATTCCAGCCAAGATCTTTTCATGGGTCTAATCTAGCTATTGCATCCACTGCATATCTGTTTTACGCCCAAGGAGTTGACAGCGTCTATCTTATCCTGTCCTTATTTCCGTCTCAGTAACAATTTCCTTTGTGTTCAAGCATTGAATGTCAAAATATGAACAGCCCAAATCCAATTTGCCATCTTCGCTGGGTGCCTGTCCCTTTCCCGCACTCACAATTGACTTTCTATATTTTAACTTCTTCCCCTATTCAAGTTTCACAGTGCATTTTTCACTCTAGCTATTATCTACCTTATCTTTCATTTTCCGTCACTTATTCTTTCTGCACCCCTGTTGAAAGTAAAGCCCACTTGACGCAGGACTGACAGTAGTTTTGTATCAGTTCCAAGTGTTATATCAATTGACAGTCTCTGTCTCAACCTACCTCTGACTCACCTCTCTGTCTCTCTCTCTCCAGTATCCCAGGTTCGGCAGTGTGTGCCTTCGACATGGAGCAGCTGGCTGCAGTGTTCGATGGGAGGTTCAAGGAGCAGAAATCACCCGAGTCTATTTGGACGCCTGTTCCAGATGAAGTCATCCCGAAGCCAAGGTGCAGATGGCTGTGATCAATTTATACACCTGTGTTCAGGTTGTTACCAGAAAACTGTAAGAAGAGAACAGTATTATGAACAACCTGTGTTGAATACATCATAATTATGTGTGTTTTGCAGATCATGGCTTGAGTTTCATTTCATAACAAAATGAAATATGCTCCATTCACTGCTCATGGTTCTGCTCATGAGCATTTTCTAGGCTGATTATACACACATGTAATGGAGAATGCAGGATGATGCTGCACACAGCATTACAGCCTTTGTTAAGTAAAGTGAAAGTCACTTAGAGCTGCAAAATACATTTTTCACAAGGAAAATTAGTTCTTTGCTAAACTAAAGGCATGTCTTGTCCTCATGCAACAATCCATCACTTGCCAAATACTTCAAGTATGAGGTTCTTTTGACAAAATCAAATCATTCTCTTCTTGAAAAGGGGGTATGTGTCTGAATGTGAGACACTTAGACAGTCTAGACTGCTTAATTATATGACAATATTTTACTAATGCCTGTAGTAGTCAGAAATGAGTATGCCGCTTTTCCTCTGTGCCATCTGCTAAACATAATGAAACTTGCTGTCTCCAGACCCGGTGGCTGTGCTGTTCAAGGTTCCAGGTTTAATTCTTCAAACTCATTCCCTGATGAGATGCTCAACTTTGTCAAGACCCACCCTCTGATGGATGAAGCCGTCCCATCACTCGGACAAAGACCCTGGATAGTCAGGACCATGGTCAGGTGAGAATGGACTCAGACAAGCAGTGAAAGAACCAACTCTGTCTCCTAGTCATTTCCATCAGCAAATACGTTTTGAAATAGTGCCACTTCAATTACATTTCTTATCAGTATAATGAGAAAACGTTTTCAATGAGCATATCTGACAAATTGCAAAATGTTCATATACTGTAGAGCCTATTTGCAAAATAGCAATATTCACTGGTAGCAACTAAAGCATAATAAATATGGGATTCAGGATGCAAACCCTGGACTCCTCCTCTCCTGTGCTTTGTATGCTAACCATCCACCCTGACCACGTCTATATGACTTCAGTTTGGTACTAAAACTTTGCACTTCCCACGCTCCCACACACAAATGTTACCATTGAACATAATCCAGGCCGCAGTTACTTTTCCCTGAAGACATATTTGGCAAAACACATGAGATGTTTATAAACAGAATTCCAATACAAAAAGGAGGTTTTGCTAATATTTGCTATATTTTTTTTAGAAACTTCTTTTGATGAGTTTAGTGAACATTCAGCAGTACATTCATTCAACTAATAATTTCAAGTCACAAGACTTTGGGAAAGGGTCTGAAAACAAAAACTATAACATTTAAGTTGATTTAGTTAATAAAACTTATATATTTACTTTAACTTAATGATCAAATATTAGCTATACCCAATAAATTTTTGATGTGTAGGTGACAGGGTTACAAGCATACACAGATATATGTATGCAAACACACACATGGTCTGTCTGGTCTGTCTGCATGGGCTGTAGACTCCGTCTGTTGAATTATCATGGTCAGGTGTTGAAGCCTGTGCTAGCAGGCAAGCAGCTGTAGCACATCAAGTCTCACATAAATGCATGCATGCCTCTCTCTATCTCTCTCTCCACTATCTACCGTATGGAGTCCCACTGCCGACCAGCCACCAAGGGATTAGGGGACTGAATGTATGTGGAATATTAAACACCTGGCACAACATGGCTTCTATTCTCATCTATTGACTCATACACACAGGACTGTGCGTAGTTCAGCAACACTGTGCTATTGTTTCAAGACGAGGCCATTTACTCGACTGATATTATTAATGACTGAACGTCTAATTAGTTTATTATGTAAATATGATCAGCAGTTTCTCCTCTCTGGAATTCATTGCACTTTGCAGTGACTCAAGAGAAAATGGCATATTTTGATTTAAATTCAAAAGAGTCTGTATTTTACACCTGAACCAATCAGCTTTAAAGCCCCACTCCAGCCGGTTGTGACTGACCTTTTGGGTTAACGCTCTTCCTCAAACAGAGAATGGGGTTGTGGTTAATAGACAGACGTAATCCATAACCAATGCAACGAGACTGCAGTTCTAGCAGTACGTATCAAGGTCTACATCAGTAGATTCAATACTTTTGACACTGAAGAGTTTGTAAAAGTATATTCATACGCATATGATGCACCACAAACTTATAATTATTGGGCATCTCGATGAGTGACCAGCTTGTATCTATGAGTGTTAGCTATACACTGTGTTCACATCACAACATTGTAAAATTTGCTATCCCGTATCAAGCTATAACATAACTAGTATTGGTCGTCCAATACTGGCAGGAGTATCGATACTTACCCATAACAGAAACTAATGTGCAAGTATCAGCTTTTTATTTATTTATTATAACCCCCACTACATTTTACAGTGCTCTAGCGTTACCACAGGGGAGAGATAGAGATAATCTATCACTTTTTGTGAATTGCGAATTGTCCAATTTTCTCTACAGTTAGAATAAAAGCCTTTGTAGACCCAGGTAATAAAGTACATACTGAGTGCTGAGTGTTCAGCGGGTATCTAATCCCAGAAATCATTGCTTTTTAATCATATAGTTGATCTTCTACATGTAAAGTTGTCTTTAGCTAAGTACTTTACTATAAAGATAAGTAGTAAATTGGAGACAGTAAAACTGAATCTGAACAATTTTCTGTTTCTCTATTACAAGTTGTCCGTATTTACATCACCGAAGCTTTAATATTTTTACCAGGTTTAACTGTAGATATTGTGTCCGTATCCCTAGGAAGTACCGTTACCTTACAAGCAGTTTGACCTAAGGCATTCTGGGTAGGAACATTAGGAAGCCCTACACCCTCATGTGTTGTGTGACCAGAAGAAGGGGGAATTTCCAAAGCTTTATATATAGCCTCATTTCGGTGACAGTCAATAAAATGAATCACAAAGTGTCATTCTGTGTAACATTTATGCAGCGATCATGCAATAACAATTAAACACATCACTATATATTACTAACTATTAACTATTGGGGGTGGTGATTGAGCAGTGGATGTCATATGCCTTTAGTGGGAGACCGGGGTTCGAATCCCACTGCAATTCCACCAATGTGTCAGCGTCAGCTAAATGACTGTAATGTATTGATGTATTCTTATAATTATTAATTGCAGTTAAGACAATAAGGCACTTTCAATACACATGTGAACTTTTTTAAATATGAATGTGGAACTGTACATGATCAAAATAAAAAATACCAAGTGACCCATTTAAAATTAGAAATCACTCAAGAAAGCATACTTCCAACTAAAGCTGTGCAAGCCTCAATATTTTATTAATGAAAAATAGAGCACATTGAAAACATTCAAAATACTATCTTGCAATGTTGAGAAAACTTTGCAACAAAAAAAGATAAGTTTTGACCCATGGCCTATTTGTTTACCAGATTTCATCAAAATCTCTCTTACCCGGTTTTTAAGATATCTCACAAAAACAAATGTGACTGGGATGCCAAGAGCAAGGCATATTATGCAGTTCAGAAGTTGTACATATGTGAATAAAACCAGACAGAGACAACTTATAGGACAATTGTATTGTGTGATCATAAACTTGCTTCCAGGAGCAACTTGACTACGCTTTCAGCTTTCATGGAAAAAATGTCCCAAATGGGCCATACAGATCTGTGACATTAATGCACTTCTCTATCTCTCCTGCTATACAGGTACCAGCTGAATAAGATTGTAGTGGATACAGAAGCCGGGCCTTATCGAAACCGGACCGTCCTGTTCCTCGGGTCGAGCAGAGGGACCATCCTCAAGTTCCTCATCATGCCCAACCAGGACAACACCGTCACTAACAGCAACATCTTCCTGGAGGAACTGGAGGGATTCAACCCTGATAAGTAAGACGTTAAAGCTAATAAAAAGGAAATGAACAGGTGAAACAGCTAACTTGACTGGGTCTATCTGAAGGTAACAAAATTCACCTACCAGCACCTCTAAAGCTCACTAATTAACACATTATGTCATGTTTGTTTAATGCATACAAAAAGTGTAAAAACAGGGGGGAGTTTATGAATGCCTATCAGACAATTTTATTCAGTTACTTCCTTGTCGTCAGTGTGAGGTTGTTACATGATGTGTTAATTAGTAAGGTGCTGATTTTTTGTTTCCCTCTGTAGTTTCCACTCTTTATGCTATGCTAACCTCCTGCTGGAGTTAGCATATGTATTTACTGTACAGACTTGAGAGTGGTGTCATTCTTCTTATCTAACTCTCGGCAAGAAAACTAATAGCATAAAATGTATTTTCCCCAAATCTCAAACTATTCCTTTACGCCACAAGTCTGTATACAGGGGAGGGAAGGGAAGGGTTAAATGACATCTGGGGTTGATGCATACACAAGGAGGAGGTCTATGCGCCTAGAAGAAAAGTTGCAAGAAAACAAACAAAAAACACGTCCTAGAAAACATGGCGTGTCCTGAATAATGCAAAAAACCTCACCTATTCTTCGAGAGATCCACATAATTGTGCCGGAGCTGAGATGTTACAACCCCATGCAGAGAATACAAATAGGGCAAACTGAAAAGAATAGGATTAGAGGCTAATATTCATTATCAGGAAATCTTAACATCTTCTAATGAGGTTTGGACATACTGTAGAACGGCATTAGGGGAGAAACATCAGAAAATAATTAAATTATGATAAAATCATTATCCTTAATCTTGACAAAAATGACACACTGTCAGGAAAAATGACCCCTTATCTTCAGACTGAAGCTAAATTATATTTAATATCTGGATCTCAACAAAAGATTGGAGTGGATTGGGTTTCTTGGCCCTTTTTAATTAGCATTTTGCATGAGACAGGCAGCTTTGAGGATTTACTGGATGCCCACCACTACGTAATGAATACTGGGTACAATGCATTTCAGTAATTTTTGCTTTTGTTCTTTGTTGCGATGTGGTGTTCCACATGGTGGGTGGCTGCAGGGTGGGGGTAAGAAGATTGTCACACAGATGCAGGCAGATTTGGCTGGTGATTATCTTTCACTGAGGCTAATTAGAGACATTTAAAACAGAAAGTGCATGTTAAACACTAGCTTTCTGTTGTGGTAATTGTCCTGCCTGATATATATACAATTTTCTCCTGCAATAAGAGGAAACAAAGGATTATTTCTCAAGCCAACTGGCTGGAAACATCCTTTCTCCCTACAGTCCAGACTGCTGTTTCACTTCTTTTTTAATAATAAACTTCCTTCATTTCCCAACCCCTCCAAAATTTCCACACCAATTTGTGTCTCAGCTTATTTGTTCTGCTTCAGACTTCACAAAATGAGGGATAGTGATGGCAAGTGAAAGGAAGGGGCTGTGTGATGAATGAGCTGGTGTGGACTGGAGCCAGTGTGTGAGGGATAATTTGGTGAGCATGGTGAGCCCACCAGGAGGTCAGTGACAGTCCAGCTATCACAGCAGGCACCCAGCTAATCAGGAGACAGAGCACAGACACATTAGGTTTTTTCCCCCCTTTTATTCTCCAGGCCAAGCCACCCCCCAACCTCACCTTTGTCATACACAGACAAAGCGATATGTTGTGCCCTGTAATAAACCCCAGGGTACACAGAAGCAGGGTCACTAACACAGTGATTTTTTAAGAAGCCAGTGCAGATTGGTTTGTGATTGGCTGGTTGCCATAATGAACCAGGAAATGATCTGACAGGGATGCAACCCTCTCTGTCTTCTGCTATTTTCTCCCTGTCTGATCTTGGTTCTGTTTCTCGTATTTTCTTTTCATGAGTCTCTCGACTCTGTTCCTCTGCCTTTTCCCTGAATTTGTTAGGTTTTTTTTCACTTTTCCTACACCCCCCATCCCACCCTACTTTCCCCTGCCTTTGACTGCTTTTCGTAATATTGCCTGTGAATAATGACTCGCAGCTTGGCCTTAGCACAATGATAGATTCTTCTTAATGACTGTGGGTCCGCCGCAACGTTATTACCATAAACCATCCAGATACAAGTGATGCATGAGTGCACATGTGCATAAAAAGGTGTAAATCCGCTGCACGGAGGCAGGTTGGTGCCGGTCTATCGTAGCTCTAAGTGCCAATTAGAAGAGTTTCAGTTCCTGGCTGCTGTTTTTTGATGCCCGACCAACCTCTCAAACCCCTGCAATCAGCACAGTGCATATTTGGGTTGACACCGTAACATCTGGCTACACCGATGGCCTCTTGTCGCTTTCAATTTTATTGTGGCTTTTATTTATAGAACTGTTTATGTTTGGTTGTGTTTCACATTGAGTCATGGGCAATGTTTTTTTCGCTGCTGTAATGCCGAGGTCAGAGGTTTAATGTGCAGTCTCAGTCTGATAATTGAAATTGCCTAATGCATTTTTGTGTTTTGTGAGTGCCAGCCTGTTTATGTATTTGTGTGTGTGCGTGTGTTGCAGGTGTGCTGAAGACTCTCCACAAGCCAGGCAGCTGTTGTCTTTGACTCTGGATCGGGTGAGCCACACTCTGCTCCTCGCCTTCCCCTCCTGTGTGGTCAGGGTGCCAGTGGCACGATGCCAGCTCTACTCCAGATGCATGAAGTAAGTTTGCACCAAATGCTGCACGTACAGGAATATAAAAGGGGTAGCAGGGCAACGTAACAAGAACTTAGGTGACCATTCAAGAACCATCTGGTGAACCCCTGCCAGCTGCTGAGCTGCTGCTCTTTAGTTGACCTGAATTTTCCTGCAATAATAACCGTACTACAACTTTTAATAGCAACTGTCAATGTGGCAGTAAATTTGAATAAAATCTAATAAAAGCCATTAAAATAATAATGCTATATTTAAATGTATCACAGTCCATAGTAATATTTACTGACTGTGTAATACATAATATGGTGAATAAATGATAATAATAAATGATAATGAAGCTCATGAGAATAGTAAGCATGAAACAAATCCGTTATAATGGTTTAATAATTTTTGTACACAACAGTTGTAATAAGTATATAAGTATAATCAGTAGCTAATGTGTTAATGTGATATTATTTAATTTAGCAGCTACCTTATAATTTTTTTAAAGGGAAATTATCACTTTATCCAGCAGTTATAAGATTATCAGACGCTCCAGTGAAGTTGCTCATGTTGTTATTCTGGCAGCTCCAAATTATGAATGTGTTTAACTGAATGTGCAGCAGGGCATTTCTGGGAAAGAGCAAGTACCCCAAATCCACTAATCCACTAATCCATAATTAAACTTAAAAATGCATATATTCAAAGTAATGATATTTCACCTGCATACACCCACATAAGCACCATAATGCAGACTCACTTTCCCTCACTGGCACACTTTCTGAGTCTTGATGCCTGTGGCTGTGGCCCGTTAGGGTCCACTGACACACTAACCGGTACACACTCCAGCACATCAGGCACGCAGTGTGTTCACTGAACCAGGTGAGTCATACAAGCGTGTAATCCAGAGCACATTAAGAAACGCTCACATGCTTTCTGAGGTATGCTTAGTGTGTGAGCGTTTATGTGTTTAGATGAGAGACCGAGAGTTAATGTTGTGTGTGTGAGTATGTTCAAGGTTCCTTAGTCACGCTTCAGCAGCTTCATGTCTGGTTCTTATCCTTTGAAGAGATTTTTTTTTCGTCAAATACATTTTTAATAACTCAACATTTTACACTAAAGTAAATTTTGCAGTACAGTTGCAGACTGACTTTTATATCACATTTAACCCTTAAAAAGTCATGTTATGCAGTAAACCACAGAGCAATCCCGCAGTACGTCATTAAACGACCATATCGGAAGTTGTACATATTATCGGTCAACAACAATTAATCCCCTTCAGGCTACTTGCACTTCAAAATATACCACAGGATTTTATAATGACTTCTTACCTTTTAGGCGTAAGGTCATTTCTATTCATGACACTAGTTGGGTTTTTAAATTTACTTAACAGCGACTTGAATTTTTCATGAGACAGGTAATCCATCAGAGTGAAACATCTCATAGGCTTTGCGTGTTTTTCAGTATTATATTATCATTGTGTAACAGTATAACTGTGAACAGAAAGCATTTCATTAAAAAAAACCTGTTGCTGCAGTTAAGGACATTCTGAAGTCTAATATTTAAGATATGGAATTAAAATGTGACTCATTCACACCACAAGCAATACGGACATTATGAAACTGTTGCTTTGGTAAGTTCTTGCACATAAAAGGTTGAAGCTGGACGGAAATCCCTGAATGTCTCAATTTCCTAGAACTAGTTTCAGGAAAAAAATCTTAAATATTAAGTGCACTTTGATTGCATTTCCTTCCACTGGAGACCGTGAGATGCAGTTGGAAACTCTGGAAAAAGCTAGTAAGTTATGTTATTTCCAAAGTCAAGAATGAACTTTCTACTTAATTTCTTAGATCTACTTTAATCCACTAGCAAGAAATCAGTATTTCAATTTTAAGCTATGTGGGTGAATTTTAAGTAAAAGAAAGATCATTTGGGATTCAAGCAATTAAATGAATCTTTGTGTCTCTGCAGGAACTGTATCGCCTCTAGGGATCCTTACTGTGGCTGGACCAGAGGAAGCACCTGCTCTTTCCTCAGACCTGGGACCAGGTATGACACCTCTACATTTGTATACAGGTGAAACTCGAAAGATTAGCATATCGTGCAAAAGTTCATTTATTTCAGTAATTCAACTTAAAAGGTGAAACTAATATATTATATAGACTCATTACATGCAAAGTGAGATATTTCAAGCCTTTATTTGATATAATTTCAATGATTATGGCTTACAGCTTATGAAAACCCCAAATTCAAAATCTCAGAAAATTAGAATATTGTGAAAAGGTTCAGTATTGTAGGCTCAAAGTGTCACACTCTAATCAGCTAATTTATCCAAAAAACCTGCAAAGGGTTTCTGAGCCTTTAATTGGTCTCTCAGTCTGGTTCAGTGGATTTCACAATCATGGGGAAGACTGCTGACCTGACAGTTGTGCAGAAAATCATCATTGACACCCTCCACAAGGAGGGAAAGCCTCAAAAGGTAAATGCTAAAGAAGTTGGATGTTCTCAAAGTGCTGTATCAAGGCACATTAATAGAAAGTTAATTGGAAGGGAAAAGTGTGGGAGAGAAAATGTGCACAAGCAGCAGGGATGACGGTAGCCGGGAGAGGATTGTCAGGTAAAAGCCATTCAAATGTGTGGGGGAGCTTTACAAAGAGTGGACTGAGGTTGGAGTTACTGCATCAAGAGCCACCACACACAGACGGGTCCTGGACATGAGCTTCAAATGTCGTATTCCTCTTGTGAAACCGCTCCTGAACAACAAACAACGTCAGAAGCATCTTACCCGGGCTAAAGAAAAAAAGAACTGATCTGTTTCTCAGTGGTCCAAAGTCCTCTTTTCTGATGAGAGCAAATTTTGCATCTCATTTGGAAACCAAGGTCCCAGAGTCTGGAGGAAGAATGGAGAGGCACAAAATCCAAGATGCTTGAAGAACAGTGTGAAGTTTCCACAGTCTGTGTTGGTTTGGGGAGCCATGTCATCTGCTGATGTTGGTCCACTTATTAAGTCCAGAGTCAGCGCAGCCGTCTACCAGGACATTTTAGAGCACTTTATGCTTCCTTCAGCAGATGAGCTTTATGGAGATGCTGACTTCATTTTCCAGCAGGACTTGGCACCTGCCCACACTGCCAAAAGTACCAAAACCTGGTTCAATGACCATGGGATTACTGTGCTTGATTGGCCAGCAAACTCGCCTGACCTGAACCCCATAGAGAATCTATGGGGCATTGCCAAGAGAAAGATGAAAGACATGAGACCGAACAATGCAGAAGAGCTGAAGGCCGCTATTGAATAATCATCGAAATTATTTCAAATAAAGGCTTGAAATATCTCACTTTGCATGTAATGTAGTCTATATAATATATATTAGTTTCACCTTTTCAGTTGAATTACTGAAATAAATGAACTTTTGCACGATATGCTAATTTTTCGAGTTTCACCTGTATGTTGTACATCATCACAACACATAGTATACTGTACCTGCCCTGCATCACCACACATCCATCTGAAGGTCTGCATGCTGTTTTACCACCTTTCTCTGTTCTCTCTCTTTCTCAGCAGTTTTTGTTTTGTTTTTGTTTTGATTTGATTTATTTGTATTTTTATCATTCCTCCCAAGGTTATATTTCTGACAGCACACCTAGCAGGCCACCCATAGAGTTGTCCCATGTATTATTTATCTGGCCTGGGCGTCCTTGGTTGTGTCTGCGAGTATTTGAGCCCCTGAGGAACATCTGTGCCCTCAAAGTAGCCTGTCACACAAGTCGGCTCTGTGTACATGTATTGATTCAAGATGTAGCTGTTAAACAAAACTATTCTTTCACTTTCCGTGTTATCCGGTGGTGACCATATAACACCATGTAGGTGTGTGACTGAGTTTTGTGTTGTGTTTATCTGACTCTGTTATGCACAAGCACATGCACTCAGACCGTGTCTTGTCTGGATATGTTTGAATGTGTGTATCTGACTGGATGTCTGGGTGTGTGTGTGTGTGTGAATGTTGAACGTGTGTGTTTGTGGGACCTCTTTCTCCTACTGCTACTGAAACGCTGCAGTCTGTCTTGACAGCTCACCTCGTTGTGGCAACCCTCCAGTGAGATTGAATCTCTCTTTAGTCAGGCTGCTTATTGAGTTAGAGCTTCAAAACACAGGTGTAGTGCCAGCGGAACAGACAACATAGGCCTTAAAGACCACCTCAGGCTGCCTGCTTATACTATTAAAGGTCTCTGTGTTGGTTCTGATTTGATTTACCAAGGGCGGTCAACTTGGCAATCGATTTTGCATTGAGTTACTGTGGATTTCCTCTTTGTGGACTAATGCAACCTCTTTGCAAACTGACGCCAGAGGAGAGCTCAGTAGTTGGCGTTATATAAGATTAGATTGTAGTTTCGTCAGTTTCTGAGGAAAATAAGTTTTGTATTTTATTATGGAAGCAGTTGTTGTGTTTGTTTACTGTGAGAAAAGGGGTTTTATGTTCGGTTTTATTTTATGCCTGTGAGTGTTTCTGTTCCCACTGCTGAAGGTCATACAAAATAAATCTCACCTTCTTTAGCTTCTTCCAGTGAGAATATTATAATAATATATATAATATATAATATAATATAATATAATATTGATTTTAGATAACTATTTAAACACTTAATCGTTTACTTTAAGCTAATAATTTTCACTATTTGTCTGTTACTTTTGGCCAACTGTTTCAACTTCACTTTCTTATTCTTTACATTCTACCTCACAGAAGTACAAGCACAAGATGCTTGTAAACACAGCACTCAACATGAATAAACACATGGCCTTTATCAGTTTCTCTTTTATTATGAAGTTTTTTTTTAATATAGAGCACAATGAACCTGTGACAATGTGCTGGGGGAAAAACACTGTCAACCCCCACCCACCACACACACAAAAAACATGGACGCACACAGGCAAAGCTAATGTATACAAAGTAAATAACCCATAGTCAGTGAGAGGTAGCCAACTGAACACAAACCATTCTTCTTTATTAAGATGTCTGCTGTAGGTTCACAGTGCACTTGGACTCATTTGTCACCGAGATTTCTAAGCATTAGAGGCACGAATGTTGGCCGTGCTGCTGCCTGAGCCTTTAGCTAATTGCAGAACACTGAATTCTCAGTAACTTGTCACAGTGAGCTTCAGCATCCTCGATTAGTTTGTGCTCTGGTTCTTCAAAGGTTGTTTGTAGGCCAAATAGTGATTCAGTCTTACAGCACAATTTGTGGGACCGTGTAGAACTTTCAAAGTGTTGTCAGTGGTTTGGATCGACTCACTAACACAAAAGATCAAGCAAAGTAACATAAATGAAAGTCAGCACATTGATGATTTGTCATTGCCATCCATATCAACCCCAAAATGAAAAGATTTTCTTTTGGTCAGATGTTGGCATTCTAAATATGCTTGGTAGCCTGAAGACTTGTAACTTTAAATAAGCTTTGTTCCTCAGATTAGTACATAGGTATGCACCAATTTGCTTAGCATCTCTGCTGCCAAGTGCTCACTGATCCTCACTACACCAAGTCTGAAGTGTTTGGTCACAAGCAGTGGTGGCCTTACTCATTTGGGGGCCCGTTTCAAGAGTTAATGCGGGGCAAACGATACAAAAGTGTGAAATTAAGTTGGCTTACAGTTATAATGGTAAATATTCGGACTTCAACTTAAATGCATTATTTGCACTTTCAGCGTAATTGACAGCAAAACAGATAAATAATCCACAAACTAAATGATGCCAGAGAAATACTGCAAAGAGTGAAAAGTGTGCCAACCAACCCCACCCTTATGAAAATGAACTATAGCATTTCTATAGTATACTATACCAAATATATAGTGTCTTGTAGTAAGTTTGTAGTTGTGTGTTTCTGTAGTTCCTACAGTACTACTATGATGATGTCATAGTAAATGGTAAATGTATAGTATTACTATAGTAACTTTCTGTTGTGCGTCTGAAAAAAACATATAGAAAACAATATACTATATAAACACTTAAGTATAACTATAACTTCATTATAAGTTGACCATAGCCAACTTTATTATATTAAAACATTACATTTCTAAAGTGTGTTCCAAAAAATATTTTTTATATATCACGTCCAAACTTCTGTTCATAACTGCACGATCTCTCTCACTCTCTGTCTCTCTCACTCTCTCTCTCTTTAATTATGGTTTTTGTTCCTGGTTTTAGGGGTGCTGAGGGGGTTGCCATGAATCTACATGTTGATGAGTGAAATAAGTAGACCTAGTTCATTTTAAACGTGGTGATCGAAACGGGTGAAACATAGATAAGGCCGCCGCTGGTCACAAGTGTAAGTCAAGTCTCAGGCAGTTAAATCTAGTTAATTCTAAACATGTTTGCCCTGATAAAAGAAGCTTATAGATCATGCATTAAGGTCAAAAGATTAAAAGTTTATTGAAGGAATAGTTCAAGACAAACAAATTATAACGTGTGAGTTAGTAACCTTTTAGAGGTGCTGGTAGATGGATTTTGTTTTTCCTGGACCTCTCCAGTCTTTATGCTAAGCTAAGCTAGCCATCTCCTGTCTCTAGCTACATATTTACCAGCAAAAAAATGTGAAATATGAAAATGTCAAACTATTCCTTTAATACACTGTTTGGTGTGAATTTAGATGTTAGGGTAGAAAGTCATCTTTGCCAGTTTGAATAGCTGTTAAGGCACACAATTATGACTGTGTTAGTTAGACACTATGTACTATATTGACTCATCTGTGTGTGTGTCTACAGTTTTTCCACATGTATTATATATTATAGATTGATATACTGACTGTAATATATCCATTATCAAAATATGACTCTAATATTTAATACATTTTAGAATGTGTCCCTAATAATGTGCCTTTTTTGCATCTTTCATATAGTCGTGTTATTGCTTAATCACTTATAAATCAATACAGGTATTTCCACTCACATGTCATTCATTGTAAATTTACTCTGTACTCACTGAGGGCTATAACCTTATACAAACATACACTCACGCACACACAAACTCACACTCACTCATAGCCTGTCATTTGCAACTTGGTGCTGTTTTCCCTGATATGAGCCATGACTAAAAGCAGTTGTGTTTTTCTTTGTGAGCACCTGGTCTGCGTGCTGTTCTCATTTCCTCTCTGCTTCCTCGCCTCATCATATGTTATTGTCCTTTGAGTTTTCCAGTTTTCCCCAGTCGCCCCGAATCGGAAATGAGTTTTAAAGCACGGGGATAGAGTTGTAGAAATAAGATATTTTGTAGTTTTTCTAGAATGATAGAATATGAGTAAAGTTTGAGGTTTTGCTGAACATTTGCTTTCATGATGAGTTACTTTTCATACTTTTTTCATTAAGGTATATTAGGTTTTTCATAAAACTGATGATGATCTTATGATATTTTTATTAAGAACCTCTCTACCTTAGGCTCCATAATATAAAACAGATTTTCTTGAAACTACTCCTTAACTCCTTTATACTTGGAGACACAGAGTTTATATTTACAGTTTATTTAAATATGCTGACCTAGAAATATTTGCAATTCAGTGCATTAATTATCTTAATTAATGACCCTGCGGATATAAGTGGTTATCTCTAAATTATAATGGTGATTATTGCAGGATAATAGGCAGCTCAGTAGTTGCCTCTTGAGTTCTTTTGTTGTTTTAATGATTTTGTTTCTCACTTTCTCAAAATAAAACACAGATTTCTACAATCTAAGTGTTAAAGGAGCTTGTAGAGATATGCGCTCCCGTGTAGCTTGTCCTCTGCTGTAACTTTGAGATAGTTCTCCTCTATCAGAGTGGATCTGTGCTGTGTGTCAGTGGCCGAGTCGCTGTGCCTCTGTGTCTTCTGATTAATGACCGTGTCTCTTCTCCTCTGCAGACTGCCGTTCGAGCAAGATGTTGAACAGGGAAACGTGGCCCACTTGGGTGACTGTGATGGTAAGAGGAGTGATTCACAATCTGTGTGTGTGTTTGTCTGTGTGTGTTTGCCCACAAGTGTTATAGCTAATAGCTCTCTTGTCTTTACCCAGATCCTTATATAACATGTGTATCTTCAGGATAAACGAGTTACAGTAAAAGAGAGGAAGAGCCTGGTAGTTTCAGTTTATACAGTGGAAATCCACAAATAAACAAGACAAGTCCCAATCCACCTCAGTGCTCTGTGGTGTCTCACTTCTCCCAAGAGTAACCACCGAGCTCCAACACAAAGAGCTAGTCTCAATTTGTCTATAAGCAGGCAAGAAAATCTCCAAGTATGTTTTAGCTAACTCGGTTCTTCTCGCTGTTGCTATCTCTGCTGTGGTCTGGCAGGTTTTGTTGCATATACATGTGTGTAATTATATTCAACTCTAGCTTGAATCCCCCTTGATGTTTCCTTTTTTTTTTTAACTCTCTCTCTTTATATCATTATGAAAATAGAAGTGGTACACAGCAAAATGAAATCTCTATTATAGATACACAGAGGTTTTGGATACTCCCATGACACCCCCCCTCTTTGATCTGAGCGCTAATTCCAATGCGTGCAAATTAATCCTGTGCTTGTGAAAGTTCCCCGAGTTCATGTGCCATGCTCCCTGAGAAAAGAACAGATAAATATTGCATAATCAGAACCCGCGTACAACTCCTAATCCTGTTTCAGATGGGCGCTCTGTTTGATGCTGCTCTCTCACTTCAGGTCCTCTGACCGCCAACCCACATGGGATGGCCCCTGAAACTGGTGGCTCATGCTCTCTGGTTATTTGTCTTCATTGAACCCATGTGTGGCTGCTTATAGAACATGTGGGGGAACTTATTCAAGCATTTACTCCCTACAGAAATCTATGATCTTCCAAAGGGTTTATTATATTTAAAACAGATCATGTTGTGCATGTACCTTTAACTAGATTAAAAATCGGAGGAATATCTTTTCCACAAGGGAACTCCACCTCAGCAAATGCACACTGTTGTGCAGGAAGCTTGTAATTAAAAGTGCAACTTCTATGATCATTGCTCTACTTCTGTACTACACCAGCGGGTGAGAGATGAACATAATTACTCTTGCTCAATGCTAATGGAGAGTTTTACAAGCTCTAGTCTTGGATCCTCTTCTCAGGTCTCAGGGTCAGAGGAAGAGATGAAACTGATACTGAAGGTGCAGAATACTTTGCTACTCACTGCACACTGTAGACCATCTTTTTTCTGAATGGATTGTAAGATGTCTGCCATCCCTAAAGGAGTGCTCCCGCAATTTAATGTTACATTTCTATAAAGGTAGGGGACTTGTGAGCATTCAGAAGAGCCAGCGATGTCCTGACTTTTAGCCTAAAGCTAATGAGAGTACCTAATCACCTAACATACTCTCTCTTTCTCTCTCTCATCTCCTGCGCTTTTATGCCTTGCTACCTGCAACCTTGTGTCAGGCGGAATATGAAACTGAGAGTGGTGGCACTTCATTCCCGATGGCTTCTCCCTAATCTGCTGCGGCTCTGGGTTTTTACAGAGCTTTATTCCTGCATTCTTGAGATTTTTATGCAAGTACTGTACATCACGAAATGAGCAACTAGAATACATTTTTAGAACGAGAAACATCTATCATCTCAGCTGAGCCTTTGACTACAATAAATAAATTAAATGGAAGAATGACTCTGCTTTTTGGAAAAGATCCACAAGGGGCACTAACTTCTGTCAACAGCAAGATTATCTTCAGCCTTGATGAGCAATTATGATTGGGATAGTATACCATTAAAACATAACAGTATCAGTGAAATATTAAAATGGTAGTATTTAATATTAGTAAATATTATTAGGAAGTTAATACACCTTTATCAGTATACTAGTCCCAGTAGTAGTAGTCAGGGGCCGATTTTACCATTATGCAAGGCAGTTGTTGCAGCAACAGAATAAATTTAACTAGACATTAGATAGAGAGATAGAGAATTGCAGGGCCATTTATCATTTTAATAGTTTTGTTTCATTAATCTAGAAAAATGTCTGACTTGTGGTTAATCTCTAAGCTAATCAAACAAAAAGCAGTAAGCCATTATATTAATGTTTCACTGATACCTATGTAATTGTTAGGTACCCCATCAGCGACTGATATAATGGGAGAAGTGACAGCAGCACAAAAGGAACACATAAAAATCCATGATTTTAAAAGCACAAATAACCGGTCTAGGGGTTAGGTCCGCATTTCAACAGTTTCATTATGTTCCGATGTGGAGCGTGATTGATTGACGTAGCCAATCATATTAAAGCAGTCCTGCCCCATCCCCGTCTGGGCCAGTAACCACACACTATGGGCCAGTCGATCAAGGCACATGTGTTATTCGAATTTCAACTGCAATTTTTTATCACTATTTTAATACATGTGGTTTAACTGATTTGGTACTCCTGGTACTCATGAAGGCTGCCCTTGCACAAGGCCAGTCCCTCATGGGATCATTGTATGATACCTTTACAAAACATCAATGTTTATAGTGCAACAGAAAACAGATTCCAGCTGTGTTTGTCACAAATCAGCCCACAAATATTAATCCTTACTTATATAAAATTTTTATTCTTGAACTCCCATAAATTCCCAAAATAGCTTGCCAATTTGAATGTCTTATATTTAAGCAACTGTTTGAGGTTATTGTGAGTCGTCTGTTCACTTCTGTCTTTTATGTCACCAAAGAGAGGATCAAACAATTCCAATACAAAGGACATGAAAAGACAAATTGATCCCCAGTTTGTACTCCCCCTTGATCAAACACTGGACAAATTCTATTTTCTTTTCCCAAAGCAGCATACCGGCCCATTTCTATGTCAGAGGCAGTAGCTCTGATTTGAGCACAAATAGTCATATTTTTCAGTAAAATATTTATAATTACTTTCACAATAAGATGCCTTTTTGGCTTGTCATATTTAACCTTGCGAAACACATTCTACCTTAGCGATACACAATCAGTCTTCTCTAACAAGTATGGGCCATCCCCAAAACACTGTATCCTAGACACACAACTGTTTTACAAGCTGTGTAGTTTTTGCCATGATTAGTCAATTTACTTAATATGAATAGACATGTTAAAATGGTGGAGTGCTCCTTTAAACTGGCCTCAAATGCACAGATTTGTACACACAGGTGTGTATTGTTCTGGTAGGCTGCTCCTCTTGGACCGGTGTCAGATAGAGATGTAGTGTTCGGCTCCCTGGCCCTGCCTTTGAGGAATATCTGAGCTCTGAGATGTTTGCTCCGGAGTCTGATCCCGTCATGAAATATGGCCGAGCTGAACTCTGTTGACAGAAGTGAGCTCTGTTGTCTCTGGATGAACGAGAGCTGCTGGGTTGGCGTGGCAGGAATGTGAGGCAACATCTATCTGACGGCTGCCGCTAACACTTAGACAGCACTTTGTCTCAGATACTGTGATGAACTCTGTGCCGTGGCCTATCTTTTCATCATATCTATTTCTTCATTTGACACTTTCATTGTCTCTGATATGGATGCTTTCCTCAGTGTTTCCTGTTGCTAGTTAACACTGAGTCCATCTTTCTTTGTCTTCCTATGAGACACAGATTCTTTCAACCATGTGCAAATGCAGTATTCAGTCAGAAGAAGACAGAGAGGCGCAGCTTCAATGAGCTTGTTATGACAAACTGTCACTGACAACGTTAATACTTCGCTATATGTGTCTGTCAGCATCTTTCTCTCTGCTTCTCTTCACGTGCTGTATTCTCCTCGTACACAGGATACATGCATCTGTGTATTTACAAACACACCGACACAAACTCTTCAGGGACTTGGATTGGTGGAATAGACTGAAGGCTTTTGGATACTGAATATTTCATATCTCTATATTGGACACATTCCACCTCTGTATCTTGACCCAGCAGATGGGAGGTGAGATATGGTCTGGCCTATCCATCTCCCTTTGGGGAAATTCAGCTATCTCATATTCGCTCTCCCTTTGCTTATTTCTTTCCTCAAAGGGGAGTCTCTTTCTGCAGCTGCATGTCAAACCAAATTCTCCCTCTCTGGCCTCCAGGCACAATCAAAATTCACACACACACATCTTCAACAGTCAATCATTATTAAAAAAACAGACAAGAGGTAAGGTTAAAGGGTCACTTAAATCAGTGGTTCCCAACATGTGCGTCGGGGTAACTCCGTGGGTCACAGAATAATTAATGTGACACGAAAAAAGAAAAATGTTGCTCTTTTACATAAATGAATATAAATCTTTGCTCTTCTCTCATAAACTACAACATAGTTTTACCTCTTCTGGTAGCTAACAAGTATTTAATAAACTATCTGAATGTTTACACAGAGAATTCATCTTTAGTAGAACTACTGACAGCTCAAATGGATGCAATATGTGATGAAGGCTTGCAAATAGATATTTTTCTCTGCATTGTATGGGATCTCAAACCAAAAATATTGAGAATCACTGACCTAAATTTCACCTCTACAAAAAAAACCAAATTTTCTCACTACTTCTAGTATCCACGAGTTTAATTTGCCTAGTTTTGAGGGACTATTTCTTGAATATAAAGTAGTTCCAGTGCAACATCTTCCAAAGAAATGGGGTCCTTGTTTCTGTCAAGTTTGCAATGGTCCTACAACTGAAATGTTTTCCACAGTTTGTCACCTTTTAGATATTTAATAAATAGATGAGTTTTCTGCCTGTTTTTTCATTTTGTGGGCATTTTTCCCTAGATATTTGAGAATACTTAATATTTGAGAGATGTATGAGAGCTAGAAACAAAGAAATCAGTCAGTCCAGTTGTGTTGATGGTGGCACAAATCTCAGAGACATATATCTGAAAACCTGGCAAAATAAAACCAAAATTATCTGCATGGCTAGATTCTGCTAGAGGTACTGTAGTGTAAGTCAGAAGCTCTTTAAAGGGGAGAGTAAGTCATTCTGCCGTCGCCTCTGCCCGGTCGTGCAACTTTTTTCTCTGTTTATACTCTTCAGGCCTTT